TCTGCGTTAAAATGGTAACTGTAACAATTTTACCAGGGACGGATAAAGTTTTATGATGAAGGGGTAGGGGTGGGGAGGATAGTTTTGAACAAGGATCTCTTGCTGGAACTTGGCGTCCAAGATAGTCTCAAAGATGTTTGATGGGGTTCATATCCAGGCTCCTTGCTGGCCATGGTTATGTTTTGATGTTTTCGATGTTGCTCTGCAAGTGTGGGATGACTACTCTAGAACGGTGATGTCTGGCATCATCTTCGAATGGCGTCATACCAGACGAATCAGGAATCGGACATCACGGTCATTGGTCTTCCTGGGCCTTGACTATCCTTCACTTCACCAGTGTCCTCACAAGTCAACTGATAATCGTGTTGTCAGCGCCGATGTCGCGACAGGACATCCCAGTACCATGCATACCAATAACTTGCCCTTGTGTCTTTTTCTGAAAGAGTGGTCTTTCCATGCCAAGAAAATATATAATATAATATTATCTTTTAAACCAGTTAGGAAAACAGTAGTGCACCTGCTGCATTAAGAACATTATACCCTGTCTAGATCAAAAAAGTAATTTAAACAGTGCAAATGAATTCGAGTGGTGCCTAATTAATGCTCATGTATATATTGTTGACGTATATGTTCGGACACCACGGCTCGTACATTTCATGTGTTGAGTGTCAGGAGAAAGTGTGGTCATGTATAACAGTGATGATATACTGAGAGAAACAAATAAAGGAACACAGGAAAATTCAAGCGTTCCATTTATTATTTTCCAATTTTCATCACCACAGCGCTATTCAAAGCTGGTGATGAAAACTGAAAAATATTAAAGGAACGCTTGAATTTTCCTGTGATCCTTTATTTGTTTCTCTCAGTATATGTAGGGCATTTGACTGACTTGTGTAAATCCATGAAGATCAGGGTTAGTATTGGTCTTCAGAAACCCATGCCTCTAGAAGACTGACTGACTGACTGAGTTTAGTTTTCGCCGCTTTTAGCAATATTCCAGCAATACACCAGAAATGGGCTTAACACATTGTGCCCATGTGGGGAATCGAACCCGGGTCTTCGGCGTGACGAGCCAACGCTTTAACCACTAGGCTACCCCACCGTCCCCCTCCAGAAGAAGACGACTGGCGAGATAGGGTGATTAAGTTCACTTATTTAGCAGAGGTCAGTGGACTGGATCATGAGGATCGAACAACGCAACTTGGATGACACGGATCAACAGTCAGCAAGCGTAACCACAAGATCCCGTTAGTCATCCCTAACGACAAGCAAGGGGTTTCTGACATTCTAACCAGGATCAGCACGGGGCGACAGAAGATAAGATACACATTCATCAGTGGTTACCGTGGTAGACACTCGATACGCATGCAATGTTGTACCAGCGAGCCACTTTATACGTTCAAGCCTCCCCAAATTCCACCAGGTGTGTTTGTTGTATAAGGACACACTCAGCAATCTTCGGGAATGATGACGGCGGCCTGTAAATACCGAGATTGGACCAGACTATTCGGTGATTAAATATACGTTTGAGCACCCTTCCCCACCGTCGGCTTGACACCTGGCCAAGCAAGTCAGCGAGTTGTTGTGTCGGTTTGGGGAGCTTAAAAACGAAAGAGAGCTTAAATGCCTTTCGTATTGAATACAGTGATCGTTTTACGTGAGTGAGTGAGTTGGGATTAACGCCGCTTTCACCAGTATATAAGTTTCATCTCGTGGTGTCAGTCTAATGTGGGAAGACTGACTGACTGACTGAGTTTAGTTTTACGCCGCTTTTAGCAATATTCCAGCAATATCACGGCGGGGGACACCAGAAATGGGCTTAACACATTGTGCCCATGTGGGGAATCGAACCCGGGTCTTCGGCGTGACGAGCCAACGCTTTAACCACTAGGCTATAATACCCCACCGCCCTAATGTGGGAAGAACTCACGAAGGGACATTTTCGTTCAGATGTTTATCACTTCAGAGAAAATCATGAGCACAGGCATGGTTCTGGCAAACCTAGATACTAGTATATACTTATAGACAACAGGTATTCGAACCAACGATCATAGATTCGGACACATCTAACGGACGCAATTATGCATTAAAAATGCGAAACCTAAAACGACTGAGCCACCCGTCACCCCTCATGAAACCGGAAATTCGTAATTGTTTTTATTAGAGCGGTAATGATCGAGGTAATATGTAAACCTTTATATATAATCACGAAGGTGTTTTCGGACCGTAGGGAGATGAGAGCACAAGCAACACAGACAGTCTATTCTACTCATAACTATAAGTTTAACATCAGCGGATTTGTCTTCGCCTCAGATATGTGAACATCGGCATAAACATAATATTCGGGTTGCACTTGCAACGTTCATTGCATACTTTCTGAAACACTGTGCTGTCAAACCACATCATCATGTTATAGAACGAACGAATGTCAGTTGGAAAACGTTTTATTTCGTTCAAATTTTCCATCGACACATGTCATCGTTTCCCAGTTGCGAAGATGGATGCCAATGTTTTATGGTCACTGGATTGTCTGGTTCAGACTAGATTATTTAGAGACTGCCGCCATATAGCTGGATAATATTGTTGAGTGCCGTGTTAAACAACAAACCAACCAACCACCCAAGAAGGCATGATTATGCCAAGGGGCCGTGGAGTATCCATGAGGTTCAAGCGTTCGCTCTTCGTACCGAAGACCGAGTTCGATTCTCCACACTGATGATTGTGCGAAGCCCATTTCGACCGTTCCCACGGCGTGATGTTGCTGAGATTATTCCTTTAACTTATAATAAGCGATCTCAAACGTTATTCAGAGGTTGTGCAAACGTAGTTCAAGACTGATTCGTGTGTACTCGCAAAATCGGCCATCCGACGCAACAGATTCCCCAGCTGACCAACCATACTTTGTTGAAGGTGCACACGTTACAACTTCTCTTTGGGTTACTTGAAATATCCATCAGTCCTGAAGCAGAGTGTGGCGTTAAACAACAAACCAGCCTGAAGCCTCATGGTGTCATAAACGGAGGCACCAGGGTATATTTTACCGCTGCTTCTATCCATGCGTGCTCCCGCAAAGAAAATAACTTGTATGATAGAAATGTCGACATTATTGTCTTATTTTGCTCCTGCCAAGCCGTCATTTCTTTCATTGTTTTTCAATGTTAAATATACTATCCATCGATTGAATCTTTGCATCAGTACATCCAGTTAAAAATCTTTCTGATCTCTTGACTTCTTAATCAGTGTAATACATACATGTTGTTTGTGATGAAATAGATGTTTTTTTGTATTAAAACGGAGCAAATAATTTTAGTTGTTTACTTAAAAAACTTACTTCTTCAGGATGAATATAAATAGAGCCACATCACTGAAGCGCGCCTGGAGTTTAGAATGTCAGTAGACAGCTACTTAACGAAAGGTGAGGCAGCGTTAGTATTAAAATATGTTTATTAGAACAAAAGTGTATGAAATGTAACTGAATTTCTAACTGGCAAAGAACGAATGTACTATTGATCACTGTTGCAATATAGGTGTTACATATGCTTTTTATGCAACTTGTCAATTCTGAAACTTACTTACCTTCTGAAAGAATATTTTTGGGTGCCATTCAGATTTTCCAATTGTGTAAAAATAATAAACTCGTGAGTGAGTGAGTGAGTTTAGTTTTACGCAGCACACAGCAATATTCCAGCTATATGGCGGCGGCCTGTAAATAATCGAGTCTGGACCAGACAATCCAGTGATCAACAGCATGAGCATCGATCTGGGAACCGATGACATGTGTCAACCAAGTCAGCAGCCTTACCACCCGATCCCGTTAGTCTCCTCTTACAAGCATAGTCGCCTTTTGTGGCAAGTATGGGTTGCTGAAGGCCTATTCTACCCCGGATCTTCACGGGTCAATAAACTCAATAAAATCATGTTTTCAAAATGTTCAACTTTGTGAAGAATTGTGACAGGACTTGAGAGTATTACATCTTGAGACTAAATGGCCATGCAGTGGTCACAACGAGCGTTTCCTAACTTCTTGAACACATGTAGATGCCATTGGAGGTAACAGGCATGAAACGTTTCAGCATTATGATTGACTGGTCTCTTTGGAGATGCATAAGGAAACTATTTTGGGAGAATTAAAGTGCTTGGTCCTTAGTGCAAACATGAAAACTTATAATATGGCACTTCTGTACCTCATTTCATTACCTCATTTCATTACACACACACCCTCCCCCCACCCCCACCCTGTGGTAAAAGGCCACTGAGGGATCACATGGCCAGGCTCCCTGATTTGGTTGACACATGTCATGGTATCCCATTTGCGAACACCAATGCTCATGCTGTTGATCACTGGATTGTCTGGTCCAGACTCAAAATACTTAGACCACCACCATATAGCTGGAATATTGCTGAATGCTGAATAAAACTAAACTCACTCACTCAGCCATAAATATCTATCCATCATGTAGAAATAACTAAAAAAATTTTTTTTATTGAAATGAGTACTTTGTTTAGAGGAATATAACAAAATGTCAAAGGTTTTGTGTTTATAGTGAAAATGAACAGATTGTTTGGTGGTGCTCACACTGCTCAGTAGATAACAAATTGTTGAATACAGCTGGGACAAAAATAGACTCCCATAAAATCCAGTCTGCCACCCAGTGGCATCAGTCACATTTTACATATCTGTTGATTCCACTTTGGCTAAAATGTGACAATCTGGACTAGAACTGGTCTTCACCAACCCATGCTTGTCATAAGAGCGACTAATTGGATTGGGTGATCAGGCTTGCTGACTTGGTTGATAAATATCATCCTTTCCCAATTGCGTATAGTCAATGCTCATGATGTTAATCACTAGATAGTCTGGTCCCGACTTGATAATTTACTGTTGTCATGTAGCTGGAATATTGCTTAGTGTCCTGCCCCCCCCTCCCCCCAACCACACACACACACACTGAAAATCTACTTTGGCCAGTCTGTTCATATCATAACAAAAGAAATGTGAGTATATATCAGATCTGTTTATTGTGAAAATAAATCAAGAATAATCAAAACAAATCCAAGTGATAACAAACTTCCTGTATACAAGTTGTCAGAAAAGACTTGTTCAAATTCAGTATGTTCTTATTAAAACAAAGAACATGGTCTCACATTTGCATAGGTTGAGAAAATTGAACACATTGTGCAATAACCATATAAAATGTCATGAAAAACTGGTTATATAAATACAGTGAAGAATGTCAATACTTGATGTAGATCTCTGACAACAGGAATGTGTGTGAGAAAATCAATACAATGCATATAAATCTGCGGTGGGATTAAAACTGTTCCACATGAAGCTTCTTGACACGAATGAGTTGGGTTTAACTCTGGGCCGTTTGATTCAGTTATATCACAGCGTATCATTTTAAATAGGAGGAAAGCCCAAACTGATGCAGTCTTACGGGTACAGTGCTGGCACACATACAAACATGATCAGGGCAGGCCCGGGATTCAAACCAATTTCTAACATGATCTGTTTGATTGGCATCTAGAAGTTGGTGACTAATAAGAAAGTAAGATTGGTTATGGATAACAACTTATATAATAAAAGAAGTTGTTATCCATAAACAATCTTACTTTCCAATTTCTAACATGTAACTTGAAATGCATTAATTTGGACTTCAACAAATTAATTTTGACTTAACATTACAATAAACATGAATCCATAACAACTTTTGTAATTGTTACCTGACACTACAGTATGAGACAAATAGTTCATGCTTGTGACTAAATATTTCTATATTTTTAAAAATCTCCCTTTTTTTGTCACGAATAAAATCACATGACAGCTCCCCACTGCCAAGTCTGTATTTCAGATCACAATAGTGTGGAGCAAACTGGGGCTAGCAAAACTACTGCAGTAACCATACAGTGTCACTAGTGTTATGACAAACATGGACACTGGTGACCAAATCAGACCTGGAATTTCTACCACATAACAGGATAGGTGTGAATGACAAGTACCACAGTTTTGAGCTTCATGTTAGGTACCTTGAGGTGCAACAATCCAAATGTCATTAAAATATCCTGAGATTCAGGAAAGTGAGTGCTAAGGATGCCATTTGCTGTGCTAACAATATCACAGCTTAACTTGGTCTCAAGACTTGAAAACATGAACAATGTTTGTGCAATAAAATACTCATGAACACTCCAGCTTAAACCTAGTAGCCTTATTAATTGTGTTTTCTTACATACACATCGTTCTTTTAAGTAACCTCAGTGAGTCACAGCCAGTCTGTAATAGCAACAGTTACATCATTCATATAGAACCTTAGGCAGGTTGTTATTGTTCTCAGGTAACAAACTAAATATGAGCCTAAAGAAAATTCTAAAATATGAAGCATATCACAACCATTGTATAATTAATAACATTTTCCAAAAAAAAAGGATCACCTTCACTCATTGATAAGAGAAAATATATGAATGTTTTCATGACTACTGCTCAAACAGCAAAACTAAACATTTCAAGGTTGTGCTAATAGATATTGGCTTGTGATAATTTTTTATTGATTGTATGTATGAAAATCATGTATATTTTGTTCATAATAAAATTCCACAGAACATATAAATATCGGATAATCAATACAAGTTTCTATGTTGTAACATCTATATGTTTCTTTCTATACACAGACAAGCTAAACATGACTAAACTCTACATTCAGTATGATCTTTAAAGTTGACATAAGTTAATCGTTGACATGTTTCCTCTCTTAAAGGCAAAGTTTTGGTCTTCAAATCTGGAAACTTGGTGAATAAAAAGAGGTATCACTAACATGCAGTTAGCATATTTAAGTAACTGTGCATATGTGCATATTCTTTTGATTTTGTTTAAAATCCTCAAGAGACTTTTTTTATAACTTAAACTTAACAGATATAACTCTGGATTTTATACAACAGTAGACTGTGATCTCTGTGAAGGCATTCTGATGCCGATGAAATTATACATATTTGACACTGGTCAGAAGGTAATTATTCATAACAACTTATCATGTAAAACATTTATGTTATTGTTCAGTTGTTTATATAGTTTGTTCAGTGAGTTCATGATTTTATTGTTCTAGATATTTACCCAGGTGATAGTTAAAAAATAATTTGAACTGTGCCCGTCTTAAAGTGTTGTCATTAGTGATTACAGATCTTCTTTGGTTGCTGCTTGGACAAATTTGTCTGGGAACTGTTCTTTCAGGAAGTCCATATAGCCGACAACTGGGTACTTTGCCATGTAGGTTCCCTCAAATACACTATCCAAAGCCTTGAGATGTTCCTCAGACAGGTCGGACTGAAGTGAAACACATAACATCATTATCACCACAGTAAATGCGGAACGGTGGACTGATCATACCACCACCACCACCACCACCAAGTTTCGCCAAGTGGTCTAGTGTGCTGTTTACTGCTTAACCAGGATCCCAGAATCACCCTGATGATGACCGTCACTGCCATACCAACGATCATGGGTGTTAATCATTCCTATTACCTAACTACATTCAGTGTACTTTCACATATGGAATACTAAGGACGAGACATTTTTATCATTTGAAACCTTGAACCCATGCTGTTCCTTCCATACAAACTTTCCAGTGCAAAGATTCTTAATAACCATAACATCTGCAAGTATATATATTTATTATTTTTCAGCCCTGTTTTTATGTCTACTTACGATGTCATGAGTGAGGTCCTCTTCCTCCAGTGACATCTTGGCAACTGCCTTGCTGCAATCCCTGCCAACCAGGGCATTATAGGCTGCCCCTTTTCCATAAAAATCTAAAAAAAAGATGTACTTAGGATATATATCATATACATATATCTGCAAATCAAAATGGTCTTATTTCATTCATTAACCAAATATTGTCACTTGTTAGTGTGAATATCCAGGGTGATGACGAAACCTACTGCAGCTCACATCATTTACGCTAATCTGCTTTCCTGATACAACTAAATTCTGCTGATAAAGTTAAAATTTACTGATGGTAGTGCTCATTGATTCAGATTTCAGAACATTTGAAGACCATAATTCTGTACTAGTTCTCAATACATTAATTTGCTACAAATTGGAACTGACAGAAAATGTAAACATAGTCAACAGATTGGTGTCTTTCAAGCAGCACTAGCTACAAAGAACTTCTAGAGCTTTTGTGCATGAAAAACTTTTGTAGTAAATATGATCAAGAAGGTGGAACGGTAGTTACCACATTAAAATAAATCTCAAGACGTCCATGTTGATGCAGAAGTGTATCAGATTTATGTATTATTATTTTATCCTTACTGTATGACCAGTTTGTCGACATGAATGTCTATCTTCATATTTGTGGACAGTAAACAGTGCTTATACATAGCTACAGCCAAATGTCATCACTGTATATGTAGCACAGACATAATGGCAATGGCCTACCTTTCCCTTTGGAGACGTCGAACACCACACCCTTCACTCCCATGTACAGTGGCCTGGAAGGCTGGATTCAAACATTCACAAATAATTATGACATCATAATCATTGATTATTGTAAAATTGTTGTAAACATAACATTTACAAACAAAAAAATTTAAACTAAAAATATATAAGTGTGTTTTTTACTGAAACGTTGATCAGACTTGACTTCCTAATAAACCTGACCCGTGAAGGTCCGGGTTAGAATATTGATCTTCAGTAGTCTATGCTTGTCGTATGAGGCGACTAACGGGATTGGGTGGTCATGCTCGCTGACTTGGTTGACACATGTCATTGGTTCCCAACTGCGCAGATCAAAGCTCATGCTGTTGATCACTGGATTGCCTGGTCCAGACTCGATTATTTACAGACAGCCGCCATATAGCTGGAATATTGCTGAGTGCGATGTAAAACTAAGCTCACTCACTCCTAATAAACCTGCTACTGATACCTGCAGCTGTCTTAATATTATTGCTGCTGATGTTTTGAATGTCCGACCCCCTCTCATGGGTATCTGCTCGCACAGATTAACAGTAATCAAACATATGAGGGTTGTCAAAAGCTACAAGGTGTGGTCACCTCTAATTAACACATGGGGTGCCGGACTGGAAAGACCATCCCTGGGCTAAGGATAATGGGCCTGTTGAGGATAACGCTAGGGATATCAAAGAGTGAGTGAGTGAGTTTGGGGTTTTACGCCACTTGTAACAATATTCCAGCAATATCAGGGCGGAGGACACCAGAAATGGGCTTCACACATTGTACTCATGCGGGGAATCAAACCCGTGCCTTCGGTGTGACGAGCGAACGCTTTAACCACTGGGCTACCCCACCGCCCCAGGGGATATCAAAGAAGCATTCAAAATCAATATACTTTGTGCAATAGGTGGATCCAATTAGTGCCAGATCTTTGTAGCTGTGTGCCGAATACACTGCATTATTGTCAAATACATTGTTATCGGAATGACACCATTAGTTTGATCCTGACATTTATCAATGTAAAAAGTTCCCTGCAACAAGTTATACTTGGAATTAACTTGGGATTAAACTTTCTCTGAAAAGAACAGATTCTACTTCTAGCAATGTTTTGCCTTTTGGGTTGAGTCCAATTCAGGATTTACCCACACTCTCAGCATCAGGCACCTAAGGCACCAGCCCACAGTCAGACACCGTGGCTTCCACAAACATGAGAATTTGACAACTGGTAGTCTAGATCACATACTTTTTGTACCGCTCTGACAAGTGTAAATTGGCACAAAATTTACTCCAATCGCTGAAGCTCTGAATACACCTTGACTTCTAGAAAGTCGTCAAACGCAACGGATCACCCTCAATAATGCGTCGACATGTTTAGGCATGTATTGAAACCGATCAACTACTATTGATTTAACATTTGATCACATTTTGAAGAAAAAAAACGCCTTGTTGGTAAATTTTTTTTTTTTTTAAAAAGCTCTAGATCATCTAAGTTAACATCATGTTGACACATTTACCCTAAATGCTACACAAAGTCAGTCAAACAAATATGACAATTTTCAAAAGTTATGTACTTGTATATAACGAGCTGAGAATGGATAGATAATCAAACTAAACCAACAGCTTCTGTCAACGTTGCATGAGAACCAAGGGAAATAACCCCCTTTACTTACATTTGATCCGTCATATTGCGCTATTTTTCTTGCAGAAAATATTTCAGCAGGCTTTCCCTTTATTTCTAACATAACTTCAACATCTTTGAGCTGGTAACATAGCACGAAAAGTGAAGACTGCAAAAGAAAAACAACAAACAAACAAGAAGTCATTGCTGCAAAAGTCCTAAGGCTGTGCGATAACACCATTTTGACACGCAGTCAGCTAGTTACCGTATTTCTTTGCGCTGGCGATAAGGACGCAAAACTTGTTTGTAGAGACAGAGCCCAGCTTAGTTCGTCAGGTGCGTGGTATTTGTAACGTTGTATGTGATTGGACAAATATGGCCAATGCTTGACTCGTTTTCTTAGTCCATTAGTCACAAGGGCGTACATTTCCGGTGGAGACCAATGGACGTTTGAGTCCGAAAATTTGGGTTACCTACATTATCAAGGTCCATCCACCATGGCGAGTGGTGCAAGTAAAGTTGTTGTCTGTGACAATGGAACAGGAGTAAGTATGAAACCATTATCATAAGCTATTTAAACAAATTATTATTTTTTTACCATAATTTGATGAAGCCGGAAAACCCGGAAGCGATTTATCTGTCACAAGATTCAAGAAATACTGTGATGTTTTCTACCACATCGTTCAGTGTTATTAACGCCAAAAATTATAAGTCAGTCTGTTTGAGGTGCATCGGGGAATTGTGCTTGCACTTGTCTTTCGGTAAATCGATGTCTTGGTGTTGCTGTATCGATTCGAGATAAGTTGCCCAAATGACCCCACCCCCTTTTCCCTGTGAGCATTTTGTTTCACTTCCTGATTGTTTTGGTGTTTGTATGTGTTATCGTGTGTAATTTTCCTCATACCTATCAGATTATATGTGGCTTGTTTTTCATTTACATCACTTGCAACAGCAAATACACTTTTGCAAGGAATGGCAGATCGTCAATAATAATTTTGGTATGATTAGGTAACAATGCCAAACAAGTTGCGTCAAAAGTTAAAAGTCATCTTATTTGAGTGATTAGTTTTGTCAAACCAATTGAAAGGTGATGTGCAATTCATGACATCCTTTCAAACCAGTGGTGAGAATGTAAACAAATCTGTTTTTAATCATAGATTCACCCAGAACGTAGTCCTTGGTCTGCCATTACCATAGTATACTTCTTGGTGTGATTATTCTACCTGAACGAAGCTGACACATTCAGTTGGTTGTAACTGAATCAGTGTTATCATGTTCACGGTTACACCCTACTTGCTGCTTCTCCATGTTCAGTGCTAAAACTTAAGTATGAAAATTGCTCCAGATATTCTTTGTATCTGTGTAAAATATGTTTTCTTAAATCACTATTTTACCATTAGTTTTGGCTTTAGTTAATATATATGCCATGTAGCATTTCCAGCTTCACTGGTATTTACTTACTAATTTAATACACTTGAGACCATGCACACAGTTCTTAAATCCCTTAAATATTGTAGCTTTATTGAATTATTGTAATGTTGCTGTCAAATCACAATATGTTCATATATATGAATTTTATTACTGTAATGTGTTAATGAGCATGACTTTAGCATGAATTCTCAAGGACTCTTGATATGGACACTGATGTTGCCAAAAATATGTGGACACTGATCTTGCATAAAATATATGGATGGTGTAACTTTAGCTAGTACTGTATGTGTCTACAGTCAAGTAAACCTATTGAGATATCTTTTGCTCTTATTAGTTTATGGCAGGCCATTCAGTGTTAGAAATTAGTGGTTTTGTTTGAAGTGTAATTTACAGTATTTGAATCTAGGGGCTCCACTGACTTTTCATTGTTTTATCATTCAGGTTGTAACAATAAAGCAACTTCTGCTTATTATTCATTTTGTTTTCAGTTTGTCAAGTGTGGATATGCTGGTCAAAACTTCCCAGAGCACATATTTCCATCACTTGTTGGAAGACCAATCATTAGATCCACAGCAAAGATTGGCAACATTGAAGTCAAGGTTTGTAACTTCCTTTATATGATGATCAGATTTTATGGTTGAGACTAGTGGACAAAGTTTTATGAACATGAAGTGAAGGAGGTGTTTGGACATGTTTTGTTTAGATATTGTGGGGTCAGATTGTTATTGGAATGTTTGATAATTTTGGTTTTTATGTTTTTTTTCAGGATCTGATGATAGGAGATGAGGCTAGTGCCTTGCGGTCCATGTTGGAGGTGAATTACCCCATGGAGAATGGTGTTGTTCGAAACTGGGATGATATGATTCATTTATATGACTATACCTTTGGTAAGGAGAAACTGAATCTGAGCACCAAGGATTGTCGCATCCTGTTGACAGAGCCACCAATGAACCCAATGAAGAATAGAGAAAAAATGATAGAAGTGAGTGATTTAGAATCATGTGTTCTTCAAAATTGATGCATTAATAATTAGTCTAATGCCTTGTCTATGCAGCCTGCTTCTTTTGAAAGATGTAAGCCAAACGGTTGAGTGTTAGTGCATAACAATTTGCTGTGTTGAAAAATAGCCTGCACATCTGTGAACCTTTCAGGATGCCTGAATATTAATCAGATTTTCCTATTATTGAAATATAGGGTTGGCTGCTTGTTGGAGGTTTCCGGCAATGTTAGTTACCATAACATTTCACATGTGAAGATCCAGGTTAAAATTGGACTTCAGGAATCCATGCTTGTCTGAAGAGGTGACTAACAGGATCAGGTGGTCATGTCGCACCTCTTATCGTATCCCAATTTGCTCGTGATGCCACTGGATTCATGAATCGATACGTATCGCGATACCTGTGTCATGATTCGATACGTATCACGATACCTATTTTCGCAGCATTATTGTGTAAATTTAGTTACATTTTGAACATTAATATTTCATATTTTATAATTGTCCTTGAAAAGATCAACATTTTTATTCTCAGAGGTTAAAAGGTTCTAATTTCCCATCTTTGTGCATGAAAAATAATCACTTATAACTCTCATAACATCAAAACCATGATACAATGTGCAAAATGTAAACGTTACATACATACAAACCGATACTTTCAGAACTAAATATTGATTCAGTTTTGAATGTATCGATAATTGTATCGTCTTAGAAAAAGTATAGATGCATTGATGTATCGTGGCATCCCTACTGGATTCTCTTGCCCAGACTGTAATATTTACAGATTGCCTTCATATACCAGTAGCTGGAATATTGCTGAGTTAAGCATCTATCAAACAAATGAAACTTTATAGTTTACCTTTGACTTTTATTATTCTATATCATTTATTTGATTGTCCTTGTTAATTAGGTTATTATGAAATAGACATTGTTTTATGTAAGGACAGAAGAAATAAATAATAGTAACCATTTGATTCATTTATTGACATACTATTGTACTTGATAGTGCACAGTCATATAACATTTACTGAATATAAAAATTGATATTCGTCATTGATGATTATTTAAAGCTTCTTAGACACCTGATAGTTATGTGTAACATTGTGTATCTTTCTTGCGGAATGTTAAGTGGAGAAAAATGAACAGTTCTTTGATGTTGTTTACAGACAATGTTTGAGAGGTACCAGTTTCAGAGTGTGCATATAGCAATCCAGGCTGTGTTGACACTGTACGCACAAGGTAGGTTCTTGCTCTATATCATCTTAGGTCACAAAGCAGAGTTGCATTTCTTGGGCAAATAGAAAGTAATGATTATGGGTTCTAATCTCAGTTTGTCCAAATTATGAACAAAGGCGACATAATACCTTGCCTGTAAGGATGACATCTGTCGCTCAGTACATTCTCTGTCTGCAGCAACCTCTAAGAAGTACTGAACAGGCACATTGACTATCCATTGAGTAAGAAATGTCTCTGGGATATTAAGAATGAGCAATTTAGTGAAGCTATGATATTTTGACCTTGTTACAGATATCAAATTTGAAAATAATGTATCAGAAAGTCACATTGGATTTAACTTCCTTGTACATGAAACTAGATTGGAAGAGATATTTTGATATGTTTTCATTGGTGATTGTGTGTGAAAAGGGGATCATTTGAGATATATTTTGTATTTGGCTGTCTTAATTTCATGCAGTGTTATTAGGAGTGTCAACATTGTTGCTTAACATACCCCCATTGATCTTAAGTAACCCATGCTTGTTGTAAAAGGGGACTAACGGGATCGGGTGGTCAGGCTCACTGACTTGGTTGACACATGTCATCGATTCCCAATTGCGCTGATCGATGCTCATGCTGTTGATCACTGGATTGTCTGGTCCAGACTCGATTATTTACAGACCGCCGCCATATAGCTGGAATATTGCTGAGTGCGGCGTAAAACTAAACTCACTCACACACTCACTCACTCATACCCTTCACATGTTGAATGAAAAACTTTTGAGCGCTGTTGTCATCATGCAGTAAAGAAATTTGCCGTTATAGTAAATATGAGATCAGAATAGTTACAATTAATTGGGACAAGTAGATTTATTTGTTTTCAGATATGAAATTCGTTTTGCCTTATATTGTTCCTAAATAATCCATATTATGGCCTGTAAGGATGACCTCTATCGCTCAGTACATTCTCTGTCTGCAGCAACCTCTAAGAAGTACTGAACAGGCACCTTGTATTGAGGGAATGATTTATGCTGTCACAGCTACAGATACCTTTTTGCGTCATTGAGTTATGTACTCACTTGTGTTCATCTCAATTGGGTATCATAATTTTTCTTTGAGTAACCAAATAAATTGTACTTACCTCACTCAAACTCAATTGGGTATTTTGCCATTTTCCATAAATTTGAAAATATAGTAAAGTTTAAATGTCAATGTTTGTTATTTATATTTGATCTGTAATATGAGAAACGATAAGAAAGACTGCAAGTTGTCAAGTTCATGTCCTGAAATAGAACCTCTCCGTATACTTCAGTTATTTTATCTCACCACCGGTATGCAAGCTAAGATTTGACATTTTTGTGTGTACGCATGTAAGATTACATTTATTGAGTATTTACAAAAATTCAAGTGTACTTGTACGCAATAGACTGAATAGAATTTGAGTTTTCACAAAAATATTTGCATAATTTACGCAGATACGCAGCTTATCTGTACCTCTGGCTGTTTATTACAAAAGTGCTGAATATACTCAATAGAGACTGTCTTGGTGGAATTACGTGTGTGATATTTTCATACCTTACCTTGGCCATTCCAGGTTTGTTGACGGGTGTGGTGGTGGACTCCGGAGATGGTGTCACACACATCTGCCCCGTGTACGAGGGCTTTGCACTTCCACATCTCACCCGGCGCCTGGACATCGCCGGCCGAGACATTACCAAATATCTCATCAAGGTAGGTACATTTCTTTATATATTTTTGCTTCATTAAATGTTTTCTGAGCATGCTTAGTAATCAGTCCCCTTGATGTACTCAACAACCTTAACAGTTGTGTTGTGGTCACATCTTACAGTCATGAACGCTGATCTACTGGATTTTAACGTAGTAAACTGTAGTTTGATCATAGTGCCATGTTACCACGGTGTACCATGGTCAACTATGTTGAACTACTCTTAAATATGTCTAACTACATTTCACTAAGGTCAAATATGGTCTACTACGTTCATCCTCCACTTCGGTCAACTATGTGCGTGTCCGTAAGATGTGACCGCCAGTTAAAACAGTAACAAATGTAGTATTTGATACTGTGTTTCAGCTGCTGCTGCTGCGAGGGTATGCCTTCAACCATTCCGCTGACTTCGAAACAGTACGAATGATGAAAGAACAGCTATGCTATGTTGCCTATGATATAGAACAAGAACAAAAACTTGCCTTAGAAACAACAGTCCTAGTAGAACCCTACGAGGTAAGAATAGCTTTGATTGTTATAAATTACAGTCCTAATGTCAGTAAGCAACCGAATTTAAATCTAAAGCTTCCCCTGCTTCTTCCATAGTACTTTGTTTAATCTGTCACTTTTCCTCAAACTGATATATAGGAGTGGTGGAGTAGCCTAGTGGTTTGAATCCCCATATGGGTACAATGTGTGAAGCAAATTTGTGGTGTCCTGCAAGATGATATTGCAGGAATATTGCCAAAAAAGCAGCATAAAACCAAACACGCTCACTCCATAGTGCTATATATAATCTGTCATGACATCACAGATCAACTGGCAATCATATGAAAAACTTGAGTATGTTTATATATTGGCTTAATGAAGGGTCTCTTGACTTTGATGATTTAGCATTGTGGTGTCTACATGATGGCTGGGTGGTGGGGTAGGCTAGTGGTCAAAGCGTTCATCACTCCTATGCTGAAGACCCGGGTTCGATTCTCCACATGGGTACAGTGTGTAAAGGCCATTAGTTAGGTTTGATGAATCACACGTACATAAGTTTACCTCTCATGGAACTTACAGTTTTTTATGTTTTCGGGGCAGTGGGGTAGCCTAGTGGTTAAAGCATTGGCTCGTCATGCTGAAGACCCGGGTTCAAATCCCCACATGGGTACATTGTGTGAAACCCATTTCTGGTGTCCCCTGCTGTGATGTTGCTGGAATATTGCTAAAATCGGCGTAAACTCAGTCAGTCAGTCAGTTATATTTTCAATTTGTAGCTCAAATGGCTGAAAGTGCAGGATATATGCATCTGTTTACAAGTAGTGGTATGTGCATGTGATGCAGCATGTTGTGTCGGGCAAGACCTTGGTGTAGTTGTAACAGGGAAGTAAGTACTCTGCCTATCCAGTGCAGAGTATGAGGAAATGTGTACATTGTATTTTTATCAACAACTGCTGTGTTGGATTTGCTTTGAATGGCTAAGGTTTCTGTACTTAATTTAGTTGTTGTGTCAGGGGTTTTGTTAAGTTGTCACTCAGTGGATGCAGGAAGTATTTTGTCTGGTTTTCCTGTTTCAACAGAACATTGAAACTTTCTCTGATAGGCTTGAAATGTGGATGAGTGTGTGTTTTGTGTGAGAGTGAACATATATATGTAAGAGTGAGCGTATGTGTGTGTGTGTGGATGGATGAGCGAGGTGGCGTTTCACAGGGGTAGGTGTGTTAGTGAGTGGGTATGTAGGTGTGAGAGTGTGTGTTTGTGGGTGGATGAGCAAGGCGGAGTTCCACAGGGGTAGGTGTGTTAGCGAGTGGGTATGTAGGTGTGAGAGAGTGTGGGTATGTGAGAGTGTGGTGAGAGAGACTTGTGACTGAAGTTGTAATAGGTCCTACAGAAAGAAACCTTGTGAAGGAGTAAATATGTGCAACAGTTACCAAGTCTAGCCTGTAAGGATGACCTCTGTCGCTCAGGACATTCTCTGACTGAAGCAACCTCTAAGAAGTACTGAACAGGCAAGCTATGTCTTCAGGGAGACTTTATCCTCTGATATGTGTAGTGTTTAGATCCAGTGAGAAAAATTGAGATGAAACTACTCATTAGGTTTTCATTACCATAATACCAAGTGACAGCCCTAAAAATAACCACACTTTCTCACTGATTGTCTAAAGCAGTGATTGTGTTAGGGCCTACAGAACAACATAGTTGTAAATGAATAGTGTGCTTCTAACTATGGTCTAAAGTCAACTGTAGCAATGATGATTGTAGGCATACGGTCAGTTATGGAATGATTATGGTAGTGTCAGATTTGAGGCTGATCTTTCACAGGCAGTGAGGGCAAAAGGTGTGTGTGTGCTCAAATCATTCAATCTAATTTGGTATTCATTGGTGAATGTTCTGATTAATCAAGACTTCTATGAGTCTGTTTATGGAAAAGTTGTCTTTGTAACAGTGATTCAGCCTTCAGCATAAGGCTGAATTAGTGAAGGAGAAAATCTGTTCATCAGTTACCATGCCTTTCTAGTGTATAGCCTGTAAGGATGACCTCTATCGCTCAGTACATTCTCTGTCTGCAGCAACCTCTAAGAAGTACTGAACAGGCACCTTGTCCTTGACATCCTTTGAGGAAGAAAATTCTCTGATGTGATTGGATTATGTTCGATTTTACTTCCTTGTACATATATTGAGTAGAAATGAATCATTTAATGTTTGGGTTTGGGTTGTGTGTGGATACTTTTTGTATAGGGCCCACTGGAGAAATGTCTTGACTGTATCCTGACAAAATTTCTTAAGAATTTTCTGATTATCTTTGAGTGTTTTGAAGTACTGAAGATTTCTTAGTGGGGTTATGGTACAGCCAAATGTTGGACGAAATCATCACAAAACACTGTGAAGACATTTGCCATGGTAACAGTCTCAAGCTTATAAAATAAACAAATCCTTAAGCTGTTTATTTAATCAGTCGCTACCCCCAACATGATGAAGGAAAAACCTTTAAGCACTCTTGTCATCATACTCACAGCATAAAACATTTGCCATTTTATTAAAGACAAACATTAGAACAGTTACAATTACCATGGAAAAAATTGGTTCCTGTTTTTCAGATATTTTATGTTATTATATATATATATATATACTGTTCCTAAACATACCATATTGTGGCCTGTAAGGATGACGTTTATCGCTCAGTACATTCTCTGACTGTAGCAACCTCTAAGAAGTACTGAACAGGCACCTTGACATTGACATCCTTTAAGGAAGAAAATTCTCTAGGACTTGTTGGATACGTAAGCGTGAAAGATGTATGGAAACTTTGTATATCTGTGTCACTTCCTTGTACAAAAATAGGGTTGAAAAAGACGTAATGTTTGAGTTGGTGATATTGTGTGGATCCTTTTGCATAGGAGTCCATTTGACAAAAGTCTAGACTGTATTCTGACAAAATATTTTCTGATTATTTGAGAGAGTGTTTTGAAGTACTGTAGATGCAATTACCATGGGAAAAGTACGTTTTCATTTTTCAGATATTTTGATATGTGCTATTCCTAAACATACCATATTGTGGCCTGTAAGGATGACCTCTATCGCTCAGTACATTCTCTGTCTGCAGCAACCTCTAAGAAGTACTGAACAGGCACATACCCTGCCCTTTTGGGAATCTTTAGGATGACATTTTTCTTTGATTTCTTTGGATATGTTGGTATAGTCACACAAATACAATAATGATTAGCATGTATTCTGGTACCACAGGGCGGTGGGGTAGTCTAGTGGTTAAAGCGTTGGCTCGTCAAGCCGAAGACCCGGGTTCGAATCCCCACATGGGTACAATGAGTGAAGCCCATTTCTGGTGTCCCCCGCCGTGATATTGCTGGAATATTGCTAAAAGCGGCGTAAAACCAAACTCAGTCAGTCTGGTAACACAGAAGACCTCAAGGAGCCAGCTGTGCAAAATGATCAAATCACTAAGACTTCTGTAGGACTGTGGTAAAGTGATATCTTAACACATAGATCACATTATGAAACACAGCCCTTAGTTCCAAACACAAGTTCTATCTCTGGCTTTATCTAGTGAACCAAACACATACAAAATGCTGTTCATTTTAGTAAGCTATGCTAATGATTGTCTACATGATAAGAATGAAATGTACTTAAAATGATGCTGAGAGACAAGTTATGATAACAACTCCAAATTTACTGGGCCAGACTGTTGCTTTAACAAGACCTGTGTTATGTTCTTCAGCTGCCTGATGGTCGAATTATTAAGGTGGGTGGCGAGAGGTTTGGAGCTGCTGAAGCTTTGTTCCAGCCCCACTTGATCAACGTGGAGAACGTAGGCCGTAGCTGAGTTACTCTTCAACACCATCAACGCTGCAGACATTGACACTCGCCCAGAGTTCTACAAACATATCGTCCTCTCAGGGGGCTCCACCATGTACCCAGGTCTTCCAAGTCGACCGAGAGAGAAATCAAACAACTCTACTTGGAGAGAGTTCTTAAAGGAGATGTAGACAAATTATCTGTAAGTTGAAGAAAAGGCATGCATGAAGGGGTGGTGGTTTGGGTGTCTCTATATGTCTGCCTACGTTGGTTGGTTGGTTGGTTTGTTGTTTAACGCCACACTCAGCAATATTCCAGCTGTATGGCTCCAGTCTCTAAATAATCAAGTCTGAACCAGACAATCCAGTGATCAACAACATGAGCATCGATATGTGCAATTGGGATACGATGACATGTGTTAACCAAGTCAGAGAGCGTGACCACCATGGGTTACTGAAGATCATTTCTAACCCGGACCTTCATGGGTCTTGTGTATCTATGATATTGAGCATTTCAACCAGTTTGTGTTGAATGCACATGTTTGGTGAATTTTGTCTCATTCTTATTGATGTCAGTTAAGTACAGATTCTTACACTTTCTGGGTTGAATCTCATTATGGATTCAAACACCAACTGGGCCACAGAGGTCTTCACAAACATTGAAGTAGTTGAGGCCCTGGGTGTTTACACTTGTCAAAGGGGAATACAAAGTTTGAGTACTTTTTCAATTTTCAAATTAATAAAAAGTTGCATTGCTCAGACCGAAAACGAGTAAGTTTATTTCGACTGTTTATTTCCAGAAATTCAAGATCAGGATAGAAGATCCACCCCGGAGGAAGCACATGGTATTTTTGGGAGGCTCAGTTCTGGCTGACATCATGCGGGATAAGAATGACTTCTGGTTATCTAGGCAGGAATACGAAGAACAGGGACTCAAGGTGCTCGATAAACTTCTCAAGCCAACGAAGAGTTAGCTCCCTTTGACCACATCACTAACTGTAGACCAACTTGTATTTTTCTCAACTGTCAGCCTTGAGACACTTCAGTGTACATTGATTAAGGTCTCATGTCAATCTTATTAACTGCATTTTCCATTAGGCTTGGGCGTTGTATTCAAACTGAAGTAAGAAAACACGACCGAAATTTAAGAAAAATAATCCAGTCCCATTTGCTATTGAAGCTTTCAGCTTTTTCATGCAGCATGTTGATTATTTTAATTAGAGTCAGTTTCTTGTTTTGACAGCTTAATGAACAATCCAATAATGTTACTGTATCAATGAGGTTTGGATGGATTTGACACCAATGAACAAAGGCTAGTGATATCAATGGTGTCTAAAACAAGAATTTGCTATGATTTATATGCTATAATTCTCTGCTTAAGTGATCGATATGATTCAGTTGCTTGGTGCACAAACTAACAAGTTTTGTATAATCAATACAAAAGTGCTGTATGTGTTTGTCCATAAGAATATATTTTTATGACCTAAAGTGTATAGACTTCATTTATCATTTAGTTAATGTTGAACGTATTTTGTCTGTACAGTATGCATGAGGTATGTTATTTTGTTATGGAAGTTGTTCAGTCTTCAATCCTGTTCGTTTTTGCCTGAAATAAATGATTATGCTGCGCGGGCGCAAAGTCAAAATGTCACTCAAATTATCGACTACTTTGGCCAATTAAATGAATTGTGACTTTCCAACATTTCATTTTTGCGTCCTTAATCATGGTATTGATGAATATTACAGAGACACTGCCTTAGTGTTTATGGAATTCACTGCCATCATTGAATTAAGATTGAGCTAATTCTCTAAGTGTCTTGAAATAAAGGACTTTCATAGCAAATATGTATTTTTCTGTTTTGAAGAAGGGAAAAATCCAAGAATTATGTGGTTCAAGATACTACTAGACTCACTTGGTATGAATGTAACTGTTTGTTTGCCGAGTTGCATCTTTCGGGTGCACCAGGATCCTGTGATTGTGGGTTTGAATCCCAGATTGAGTCTGATTGTTCATGGTTTGTCAGCACCAAACGTGTGGGTTTCTTCAGGTGGAAAACATTTCAGTGAATGACATCCAACTCTCCTTCTACATCAACCTGATTGTCATGATATTCTGAAATACGGTTCAAATGTCATTGAATAAAATCACTCACCCATTCCATACATGGCCAGTGGGGGTAGCTCTGTGGTCTGCATGTTTGCTTTGTTTGCAGAAAACCTGGGTTCAGATGACCATGTTAATACAGTGGGAAAGAACTTCATTGTGTCCAACTGCCTATATTTTGAGTCGATCATGTGTTGAGTTGTGTGTGTGCTGTCATATAGTGATATAAACAAAGCCTGTAACACCAACATGTAAAGTGAGAGTTTCTGAAATGTATAGAAAATTGAAGAAACTTTAAAGTGTTTCGATTGTCTCTTCTTTGGTCCAAGTGATGGTTAAATCTAGCAAATATAAGTTCATTGTGCTACAACCTTACTATCGATGTAAGTGTATCATGTATGTCATATCGAGGGCTTAGCGATTGACCAAGTAAATTGCCCAGTGTCTTAGGCCATGATAGAAATTTTGTAAGGAATATATGGTAGACAAATCATTATTTAAGTAAAACTCAAAGGTCTCAAGCCATCAGTATATGTTTAAAGGTTACATTTGGTTGGGTCTGCACTTTGTACCAATGTTTAGTTTTGAAATGACATCACATTGTGGACTTATATCAAGATATATGTCATGTGAACTTAATATGAAGATTTGATATCACAAGGCAACAGAGTGTTTTCCTTGCAGTCCTGAACACACCCAGTGTATTTTATCTCCATTCTATTAGATAAATACCAAGGACCGGTTTGTCTCAAGATATTTGCCCGAGTATGAAAGCCTTAGGACGTGTCCTCGTTTGTACAAGCAACTACTACACTAAACGTAAGTCGAGTTGAGGCCTGGCACTGCACATTTCTCTATCAAAAGAAAATTAATGGAATGGAGGTACGTTACTCTGGGCAATGAAGGATTCAAACACTTCATCTCAACTGTGGCTTAACCTACTTGCTCATCCTACATGAGGGAATTGCTATGTAGAAAGTCTCAGTCATGCTTTGCTCCAGTATTTGACAATTCAGAAGCAGTTTACCCTGATATTGATGAAAGTACTACAACAAGGAACCTGTGGTGTTGAATGTGTTGACATGTTTCCTTGATGATTCCTTCAGATTGTACATAGAACTGATCCTGTAGTTGATTCAGGGATCAATTTTATATACTTTGTACTACATGCCAATATGTAGTATTCTGTCACATATGTACCATACATTGAATATGCAATAAAACATTTAATCTTTCCTTTCTTGTGTGTATTTGTGTTCTTGGTGTCAGGTCTGTGAAATGTGAACGCTTTTTCTAAATGAACTGAGAAGTGTTTATGAATTTACATGTCAATGCAAATATTATTTCTGGGATTATGTAAGAATCAGCTTAATGGTCCATAAATTTGACCAGCATCGAAGTAGGTTATATGTTATCAGGCTTATGGCACATGTAAGATACATCTAGGAGATTTTTGAATGTCAAGGTCAGTGGATAGGGTGTGTCTCTGGACAGCGGGGAGTGGTGGCTTGATTCTTCAACCCTGTCATACCAAAAGACGTTAAAAGATGGTACTTGTCATATTGACATTTTCTGGTAACAGCAAGGACATGTGACGTTGAAAGTGTCATTTTGGAGGCCTTGTTAATGTGCTGAAAATCTTGGTTTGACACTCAATGTTGGTATGATGTGTTGGCCAATCCATGTGTCTCGAGGATCATGATGCTGATATTGCCAACATAGGTAGGATGTGTTGGCCAATCCATGTGTCTCGAGGATCATGATGCTGATATTGCCAACATAGGTAGGATGTGTTGGCCAATCCATGTGTCTCGAGCGTCATGATGCTGATATTGCCAACATAGGTAGGATGTGTTGGCCAATCCATGTGTCTCGAGCATCATAATGCTGATATTGCCAACATAGGTAGGATGTGTTGGCCAAACCATGTGTCTCGAGCGTCTCATGATGCTGATATGGCCAACATAGGTAGGATGTGTTGGCCAATCCATGTGTCTTGAGCATCATAATGCTGACATTGCCAACATAGGTAGGATGTGTTGGCCAATCCATGTGTCTCGAGCATCATAATGCTGATATTGCCAACATGGGTAGGATGTGTTGGCCAATCCATGTGTCTCGAGCATCATAATGCTGATATTGCCAACATAGGTAGGATGTGTTGGCCAATCCATGTGTCTCGAGCGTCATGATGCTGATATTGCCAACATTGGTATAAGAAGATGGTCATTAGAAAGTCCTTCATTCCTTTCACCCATTTGATTTTGTTTATTCAGCTGACAGACAACAAAATCCAATGTAACTTTAATAACTTTATTTCTACATTTCTGCAAGTGTCAGTTTAGAGCTGATCACTTGTAGAGACCAAATACATGATGTCTCCCAGAGAATGGTGCTTCATAAACAGGAATCAACATCAGCAAATGCCAACAGGGCTTTAACCCCTGCGAAGTCAACATCAGCAAATGTCAAAAGAAGTTAACCCCTGAACAGCTAACATCAGCGAATGTTGTGGGTTTTGCCCATCGTATCTGTACAAGTTCCAACAGATGCTGGTTTTCCTATAAGTCCTACAGTATACACAGCTGCAGATTGACATAGATCCAAAACATACTGGCAGCACAAGCATTCGGCTAAAATATAGGATAAATAGACAATGATGTTATGTAATATACACACATGGTATGTACCACACACAGCTGGGTAGCACTCTGGTTCGTCTCCGATCCGAGACTGGGTTATTTATTTGGCACGGGTTCTCTCCCTTGTTTTGCAGCTCAAGCTCAAGGGGAGTGAAATAACAAGTGGCACTTTCCCCTTGGTAAATACAGGTGAACAGGTGTGTCATAACAATACTTCTCTTGGTCAATATTGGAGGATAACACCAGGACCAAATGTCATAAAATATTTCAAAGTTCTAGCAGAGACACATCCAATGTTGATTCAGAGTCTACAAATTTGTTACCGTGGAACAAAACAACATCGGGTGCCATTTTTCAGGAGACCCATTTTTGCATGCTGCTGCAACCCCGATGTGATCTGATTCTCATGTTATAGCCTGTTTGTACAGTGAAACGATTGCCCAACAAACTACTTGACTCTTATGAAAGAAACACAAATTGTGGTATTGTATAGATAGTGTGGATGTTAGAAATCCAATTTATCAGGACATTTGCCATACTTTTATACTGTGATTCTATGCTTTCCTATAAATCAAGCTCTGTCCCCAGTATCTAGTACTTGCATGTAACTTTAAAGTTAAAACATAAAGTTGTTATCCTTTGTGAGACTCTTTGAGTATAGGCACCTTTGATGGAAGTACATTTAGAACATCCCTAATTCCCAAGGGGCAAATATTTCCACAATCCAACCAATACCCAAGATCCACTGATAATTCAGGTGCTAACACTATAATTGTGGCTTGTTACACAATAATAAATGCCTATACAGAAAATCAATCTTACTGTCCATTAGACAATGTTGATTAAGCAACAGAACCTCTCTGCTGCAATTTGATTGGGCAATGGAACTTCACTGCTTCAATTTGATTTGGCATTTGAACTTATCTGTTCCAAACTGATAGGACAATTTCAGAGTTGAACAGCATTCAGTGGATTTCAAGTATTTGAGAATGACAGAAACCAAAACACTTTGGGAACGAGGGGCGTATACATCAACTGGACACAATTCTGATGACATCCTTGAGTGTTTCCAAACCCATGTTTCTGCATTTCATACATGAAAATATAACATTCAATTGTTAATCTGAAAATATTTCAAATGCTACTGTTCTGATGTAAACATTTCCTTCTACAGAGGAAATCACAAGAACTCTATCAGCAGAGGATGTCAAACAACCTTGAACTGGGATTCCATAACAATCTTCCTGCTATTATGTGCTATATCTGCATATCATTAATTTATATACTGTATTTCCTCTAATAAGGGCCCAGGCGCTTATTTTTTTCAACAGACTTCCAGACCCCGCACTTTTTAGAAGCCCTGCGTTTATTGGAATCCTGTGGCTTATTCATCTAGCATCGGATCCCATACATATTTATATACATGATACCCCCTGATTGCAGCTTCGACGATTATATAATATCCATAAACCCGTGCCATGTGGAGGACAGGAAGCTATGACTAAAGGCACCATTTCTTAATAAATATATTTTTGGATCAAGGGAGAGTACATTTATAAAAACCGTACCGAGCGCTTATTAGAGACCTGGCTCTTATTTCTTAAACTGTTGCTTTACCCCCTGCGCTTATTAGAGGATATATGGTATCAGGAAACAAAGTGCATGATATGACAGCTATGCATGCATTCAGACCCTTTCATGAGTGCAGTCTGTCTACAATAGAAAATTACATACAAGATAGGATACATATTTCAAAATATGGAAAATTGGATTTGTCAGTGAGAGCGCAATGCTAAGCAGAAGATTGCGCCGACAAGACTATGATGGATTGCAAAATATACAATGTAGTACTTTCCGAAAGCATTAACTGAAGCAATGTAGTAGTGGTATGTTGATCCCTTCCCATGATGCAGTTTTAGTGGTTCATGAATCATGACGAGCAATGTCTTCAAGAACGTGTATCTTAAACAACTGTTATACTTGTTAAAATCTAAAAAAATCACAAAGAGAAATACCAAGGATTGTTTTGTAATGAACTAATTTGTTCTAAAAGCTATATCGCTTATCATAGAATCCAATTTCCCAAAACAGCATCATTAAGGGAAACAGGAGTAGAGAATAGGTGATAAAATGCCGTTAGAAAGCAGAGTTATACATGCTAATATGGCACTTGTCAATGGTAATATGTTCTCCAATATGTATATCTGTACCATGAGACAAAGATGAGAGTAATGATGAAATATATATAGAAATAACAATAGGGTGGTCTGTGACACCCTGTCTAAATGGAATTGGGATAGTTGTCGCCAATCTCCATGACCAATTAGGGATACCATATATACCTCACTGAATTACGTTCATGTTTCCTTCTGACCTCTGTGATGTCCACACCTCTGTAGTTCCAACACACCTTCGTTGAAGGGTACTGGTAGAACACCACATGTTGAATCTTTTCTTGAACACCGGGTGTCATAGATTTTCAGTGATCCATTCATAAATAGTTCTCAGTTATTTTGCCTTTTATTCCCAGTTATTTTGTTGGATAATAGAAGCTGCTTATTCTCAGGCATATTGTGGATAAAATACCTGTTGGACTAGAAGCTACTGTGATTGAATAGGTCACCAGCACTCTTTTGAAAAGCAAACCCATGTCCAGAATACCCAGTTTCCAGTATAAAGAGTGTCCTGTACACACAATGTGAAGATACACCTGTCAGCCTTAGTACACCAAGTGTTGAGTATATTGCTTTTCAGTACTAACTCTGCCAGTATTAACAGTATCCAGAACAAGGAGTGTCTTGCATGAACGTTCAGTCTATTAGATGTCCACATTAACCATTGTCCAGTATAATGAGTGTCTTGTATGAATGTTCAGTCTACTGGATGTCCACAATAACCAATTTCCAGTATAACGAGTGTCTTGTATGAATGTTCAGTCTACTGGATGTCCACAATAACCAGTGTCCAGCACAATGAGTGTCTTGTATGAATGTTCATTCTACTGGATGTCCACAATAACCAATTTCCAGTATAACGAGTGTCTTGTATGAATGTTCAGTCTACTGGATGTCCACAATAACCAGTGTCCAGCACAATGAGTGCCTTGTATGAATGTTCATTCTACTGGATGTCCACAATAACCTAAGTCTTAGACATTCACGAGAGCAGAAGAAACATGCCAAGAATTCAAAGAGGTTGTACATGTATCATCCCCAATATCTAATGACTAATCATGCTGCTTCATCCAACCTGGAGGTTGTCATCAAATTATGGCCATTTTGTAATTGGTTTTGTTGCCATGGTTACAGCAGAGAATGAAAAAAATATGATAAAAGATGAAATCTATGGTGCTATTTCAATGACATAGATCAGCAATGTTAAATACCCTTGGTTCTGCTTGGTGTACACACATAGCTTGCAGTGTCTTTCTTAGGCTTGAAACATATATCCGACATAACAACTATGATACAAAATAAGTTTTACACAAATTTTCATATAAATAAGTCTCTTTACATTCCTCTTTAACAAGCCCCATTTCAGGGCTGCACCATATCATAAAAAGACATTTTAGAAAATGTTAAATCAAATGTCTTGGTGCAGAATGTTTAAAAAAACCTCTTTGAATAAATAAACAAAGATATAAACAAAAACATATTCAGGGTCAAACAATCTTTTTAACTGTTTCAAAAGGTCAGCTCATCTGCAAAAGACAAATATAAATTCATCTTGCCCTGATGTGACTTTTAGATAAATGTACTATCTCGTATAACAATGTATTGTATCTTTTGTGATTCCATCAGAGACATTTCACTGATCAATTTCGGAAGTAACTTTAGCATGTAAACTTATTATGAGTTGAAGAGGTATTGAGGCCAGGTGAAACGTGGATTTGATCCCAGTAATGCTGTGTGCCAATTGCCACTGCCAGAACCAGCAAGTTGAGCCTTACATTACCATCATCTTATAAGTACTATATAACTTCTTTAAAAATATTCAACAAAGTAATGCTTAAATACATGAATATTTTGTAGAGACACTAAGCATGAGGGTGATGCCTTGTGTACAGTTGGTTCATGGAGACATTTTCATAAAAATAAATGTTCAAACTTGATAAATTGTTCCATGTGATATGTATTCCTGTAGATAAAGAAAATAGTTGATGATTCTGGACACACTGCCATGTTTGGAATTTCACACTGAAATGATCTGACAAATGAATACACTTTGGTCATTGGACATAAAAAAATATTGTAAAATATGCATGAAGCATATACCATCTTCTTTAGTGCAATTTTGCAAAATAATAAATATTTGAAAAAAAGCAAATTATGAAACAAAACAATTTTATTTGATGACAACTTATGGCAAGTCTAAGTGATAGAGAGAAGCGCTGATTTAATTAATTCACTCATCTCAAATCTCTGCATCATTATATTGATGGACCTAAGTCAATGGATACTAAAAAATTCAAAATATAATACAAGTGGAATAGTTTAATACATACATCAATGAGTTATGGATCATGCACACATCATGGATTCTCATTCTCAGCTATATGCAGTATTTCAATTGGCCCTGCAGATTGCAAGGTTTCATAAGCGAGATATGCTACATTTGTTGTATTTCTTAACATTACATATTTACATAATCTTGCAATGACCATGACCTTGGGTTGTCTTATCATGCATACAGGTCAGGTCAAGGTTACAAGGTCATAGATGGTTTATGGCAATGGTGGCAGAGAGATGGACATTTACACAGACTTGGTCTTGGTCATGGTCATATCTAGTGCTGTATTCACGACAGGATTGACAAAATGAACAAAAAAAGTTGTTTCTTTCCGCAGGTAAATACCTATGGTTTTCACCTAACATATGAGGATGCTAATTTCCTCAGGATACAAACTGCGGATATAATTGTCTGTTTTTGCCATAATGTCCTTCACCTCTCTAAGAATATGGTCACATGTTGAGCTCTCTTTGCTTTATCTTGACCATGACAATTTGACCTTATGATAGGTCACAATACCCTTTGCCACTGTCACAGTTAATGGTGACCTTCGCTATCTTTGACCTTTAGAGATTAGAACAAGCACCTGCAGACATGAAAGAGCTGGTTTTTGTATAATATTATATGAGCCTCCATATTTATCAACATAACAATTCCTCATGGTTAATGGAAATGCATTATGTTACATCATAGTGACACAATCCAAACATTAGTAACAGAGCTCACAGTGTGGCAGTACACACTGATGGCTCGTTGAAAGATTGTGATGAGGCATACAATTTGAAATAATGGACCCATATTTGGCACTTGAATAACCATCATGTACAAGTCTGGGGGGGAAAGCTGATGATGTAGCAGATGAAGATGATGCTGAGACAGCAGCTGTTGTTGTACAAACACAAGCTGTGATGGGGAGAATAATTTAGTTGCTATTGGTTACAGACAAAAATAGTGACATTTTCATGTCAAATGTTTGTCTTGAGATCAGGAAAATATCTTCATCCGATTCATTTCCAAACAATGCATGATTAAATACCAACATCACCCTCCTAGCACCACCAGGGTCGTCAGGACTTACACAACAGGCAGCTCCTCATGGAAGTCATTTATCACATATACCCCAGTAACGCAGTTGCCATAGTTACACAATGTTTCATGCCATCTGTGCCTGTGATGAAGTTGCCAAAGTAACACAACATTGATTGCCGCCCAAATAATGAAGTTGCCACAGTTACACATACTTCCTTCCTCTCTGCCATGGTAATACAGTTGATTTTCATTTTCACAAAGTTGCTTGCTGCTCCAATAATGCAGTTGCCATAGTTACAGAATGTTGGAACAATACTGCCTTCTATCTACATAAGACCATCTCAGAAAACAGATGCAGAAACACTTCCTCACTGTGCATATTGAACATTTTGCTGTTGTGGGTGTGGTGGCACAGCACACAGTGGCACTTGCTTCATGCCGTGTTGCTTGTTGTTGTTTCAAGGATCAATCAAATAATACTTTACCAACACAGAGCCCACAGTATGATCTGTGTTAGTATCACAGTACTTGCTGCTGTCTTCCCCTTCCTATCTCTTGACGCCATGGACATTGTCTAGCTGTTTCAAGTACTCACTAAATCCGGCTTGCATATCACAGACCATGGAAATAATTCATCCTGATACCATTACAGCATCACCTCTGGTACCATTAACGTATCACCTCCTTCTGGTACGGTTGTTGTATCACCTCTTTCGGGTACTATTATCGTACCTCCACCTGGTACCATTACAGTATCACTTCTTCTGGTACCATTTTCATATCACTTCCTCCTGGTGCCATTACCATATGACCTCCTCTTGGTATCAATAGAGTATCACCTCTGGTACCATTATCGTATCACCTCCTGGTTCCATTTCTGTAGACTTCCTCTCGGTACCTATACAGTATCACTTCTTCTGGTACCATTATCATATCACTAACACCTGGTACCTTTACAGTATTACTTCATCACTGATGTACCATGCTCAGGTTCAATCATTTTTTTTAAGCTTTACGGTGCAATATAACAACCATCTTCTATTTTAGGCATCCTATTTTCTGTGCAGAATAACTATTTGGCACCATGACTATATTCACACCATCGAAGGATACCATGGTTACGTTAGCTTCTGTCTCGGAAGACCACCATGGCACAAGGTCTCAGCGGGAGTTGATACAGATGGATACCATTACATTGTTCATTTTTTTAATTCAATTTTTGTTGAATGATACATTCGTTATGAACATGAATGGTACATTGTCACCTGTTTTTGGTACTGTCACGACATCACAGGAATACATCTGAACCAATTTTCTAACACTCAACCAAGAAGTCTTCCAGAAGGATTTTAAGAACCATTCATGGAACCATCCACGTTCTATATTTGCATCATAATTTGAGGGATACTGTTTCCAATTGTTACCAATGGTACCAAGCGGTAATATCTTAAGGTACCATTCCAGTACCTCTGTGCACAGTACCTCACCGTACCACAGAGTTTGAGTACAAGACATGTACACTTTATGCATGAAGACATGTACATTAGCAGAATGTTGACACATCACCACCACCAGCACCACCACCAGGCACAGCCGAGACTTAGGGTCACTTGGCAGCAGACGTATAGCATGCACATTAGACAGGTACTTCAAACACACTGCATGGGTCCATGAATTCCACCACACAAGCCATCATACACGTCAGTGTTAGGAGTCCCCATACAGTCTTACACCTTTCTTATTTCTAGCCGTTTTTTGCTCTGAAAACAGCAAAAAAGCAAGGAGTATTAGTCGCAGAGAGAGAACTAAGAAGCGCTACGAGCAACTGGTGTCAAACAGTGCACATGCTAGTCACAGCAAAAGCAGAATCCAGCCAATCAAATAGTTAGGCCATTTTAGCTGGACCAATTGGAAACATCCATTCATTTGCAATGCTGATGTGAGAAGAGAACAGTGAAGAGGCTGGTGATTGGTCAGTCAAGCAGAGAGGAAAATATATGGACCAATCATATCCAAGAGTGAGTGTAGTAAGATGTGGAGTGCTTTAAAGCAAATAGAAGAAAAGTGCATGTTTTGGCAGGCGGGCGGGCGGACAGGCGTTTGTACAGATGGGCGGGATGGCAGGCAGTGGTGGTCGTACACAGCTACAATCAAGTTCCACCGATGCTCAGACTTGGAAGCTTGGGGATAATGGACCTGGTCTGCTGAAGAGATAGAGGATACGGGTGTTAGTTCACCAACTACTGTGCGTGTGCGAAAGGTGCATGTACTTCTGTGCTCAAGTTCAGACCCAGGTTCAAAACAAAGTGCAGACCCAAGTTTTTCTGATTGTATACAACCCTGAATTAAAGACTGAAACAAAAATATAGGACTGAAGATGTTGATAATCAGTGCAACAAAAAGAATGGTCAGGAACATTATTGACAATAATTTCTAGTTTCTTACACACATGATGACACTTATCAAAGTCCATCTTAATTCATCTCATCTTACTTTATCATTGCATCTCGTGTCTAACCCCTTTTATTAGACTGCCATTTAATCACAAATTTAAATAAATAAATAAAAAGTGATATTAAAAATATGAAATAAATAAAATAAATCCAGAACTATTCTTGGATTTAACTAATATAGACTTGCCTAATTATTCCACACTCCTTGGAATAATTTACTGTCTGGGGTCTCGAAGACTGACTACCATTCTATCACCAGTTGAGGAAAACCTCCAAGATAATATCCCCAAAACTTGCATCATACTTTGTATTCCATAACATGCAATAAATACAACCATTGACTGATTAACCCTGCTTCAGGTGGCCTGTTGAAAGATCAAGATGCTTCAGAAACAGCTTTGATATTATTTGACAAATTTCTTCAGAGCAAATATCTGTATCATACATTCCAAATGCTAGCATATAGTGAATCCAGAATACTCTATATGTAGGCTTTGAATTCCTCAATCACGCCAAGTGATTATGATAATAAAAACAAAAATAAAATATAGAATATAAATAATAACAGAGACTGATAATGTGTTAAATTCAACCACTGATTTATCGTAACAACATTAGATTTTTACATCCGAATCAATGGATCAATGTGCGCACAAATTACATTCTCAGCTCCCTAGGAAGAGTACTACCAAAGCTGAACTAGAAATCACCACGTAATGATGTTCTTGAGGGTCTCCTACAGACTGGGTCTGAACTTGGTTCCTTGCTACCAGGGATAGGGGTGTGACAATCTATTTACAGCTATACTACAGCTTGTGGGCAAAAGACCTGTTTGGTGAAAAAGGTGTATGACATAGGTGCGGCTGTAATCCGTGTTAAATTGTGTTCAGGTGCATGACTAAAAGTGACAACTGAAACAAAGTACAATCTATATTTTTATGAATGCAAATGAGGTGCATATTTCAAGATATACTTATCTATCGTCACCAGCTTAGTCATGATTCTCAAAGTCTGTCAAACCTTAGCTTGAAATTGTTAGGGTTAAGTCTCCTTAATAGTCAGGGGACATAACCCAAAATATCCAGCCTTTTGTTCAATGTGTAATGTTGATTTTATGAATGTTCACTGACCGTAATTACATGGTCAATGAAATTGCTGTTCAATAAAAAAAAAACCGAGTCGAATCATCTACAAATCATTGAAATCATGAAATGGCTTCCCCTGGTGTGAGTGTTTTCTTTTACCTGAGTTAAAATCACAATATGTATAATGTCTTTAGGAGGAATCAACATCATTAGACAAATTGTCAGCTCGACAAAACCATTGAAGACAATCATTCTCATAGGTTAGATGCTAGCAGGAATATAGTACGTAAAATCAAATATTCATCTATTATATTCCCTTAAACATGTTATAAAACAATACTTTTTCAACTGATTGATAAACACTGATAATGCCAAACTATCCTCTTTCACTGCCAAGCACCTCTAATCTTGACTGACAATCTTTATCTTACTGAGTACATATCACTGAATGTGGTGTCATATGTGAAGTAGGAGATGTAAAATCATAAAATCTATCAAATCAAATCTATCATTTATCATAATTTTGAATTACCATCTTTCAATAATCCATTTCTTACATCTTTAAATCAATTTCACTGGGACAAAAAAACAACAATACCAAACAAGAAACTTTTTTGTTTGTTTTTAAAAAATCTTTTCAAGCATGTTAAGCATCACTGTAAATGTTTAGGGAGTGTTGGCATATGTCTCAAACTTTCAGGAAGCACGTTACTACCTTAAGTTTTGAACATGTCCATAAGGGGTATTTATAGTGGTATCTAGTGGCAAGAAAATGCTATGGTGACAATAAGAAATGACTGTTTTGGTGCACATGCAGTGATGGCATCAAATATCGGGACACACTGCAGCGAGCCTGCTGGGGGATCCTTACACAAAAAGCAACAGAAAGAATACAGGAAACCATGTTGTTCGATGACATAACATGCAGTGTCTTCCACAATTTAAATTTTAGAGAATTTGTCTCTGCTACACTGCCTGTAATTATACCACCGAAGAATGCCATCTTAGTCTGCGCTTTGAGCAACCGCAACGGATGGAAAATAGCTCAATATAAATGCACTTATTATTATTATTATTAAGTCAGATATCCTGTTGACAAGATACAATCATCTCTGTGACGGGCTTTTAATCTGTCAAATATTTCACTTCATAGATAAAGTAAAGATAATTTAACACTTATGACCTTTTGATAACCAATGAGAATCATGACAGTTCAGTTTTATTTCTTTCAAGTGTGATTTGTAACCAAATTAAGAAACCAGTGAGAATGGTGCTTGTGAGAGTTACCTCCCTTATTCATGAATCAAAGAATGAATTAAAACTAATATCTGTGCAAGTGTGATTTAAGATTTATAGCCTTTTTGTAACCAATGAAAATGATGACTACTGTCTCCCTGGCTTCTTGAATCAAGAGCTCAAGGGTGATTTCATTCCATTTATGTAACCAATGCCTCTGATGCTCAGGGAAAGTTATCTCCCTTCCTTGCTAAGGGAAAGTTATCTCCCTTCCTTTCTCTTCAGTCTCTGTAAGATGCAAACAATCAGGCCATGCATATCATCATCAGCAACAACACAAGCAACATTTACAACAACAATTCAAACAACACAAGCAACAGTGTGGTGATGGTGATGCAGAACAATATGGAGAAGCTCAAAGAAGGCTTAGGAATACAATTAAATTTGAGACATCAGCCAAGTGATTATGACATGGCTTATTTGATGATCATATTTCTGTTCCGGCTGAAGGACATATTTTCTCATAATACTGCCAGAAATCCTTATGTTCATATCTGTGTAGCATACTTCCAGGACTGTAGAATTTAACCCTGATATGTCAAGGGATACTATCTGGCACATTAGGTAAATATGTGCATCCTCCATGCCAACATTCATCTGAACTCATCTTCCGTGATTAAAGACAAATGCTGGATGCTTTCCAAATGAAAACTCCTGTTGGTCAACTTCACAACCTGATACAAATATCCACTGTAATTTGTAAGCATAGTAAGCTATTTAATTCTACTAACACAATGTCATAAAAACAACAGACATTCTGATAGCTAAGTAAATCTATAGGTCCAAAAATGTCTATTAAAAAATAGGTTCTACTGCCGTGAAAATGGAAACACTTCTGTTGTGCCCCAAATCATTAATACTATATTGGTTCTACTGCCAACTGAATGAATCCCATTTGATACACCGAACATGACTATTCCATACTTGGAAATGTCTACAACGCGAATACAGATCTACACAAATCTCTTTCAAAATGACTGGATACACTTATATCAGTGAATATCTATTTTAAAAGCTAGTCTTATTGTAAGTCAAATAATGCAAGATGTTCTGTGATAATCCTTTCCCAACCTTAGTTCTCATGTGCATTCTGTATAGTGTACTTGCTATCTGTAATGGATATCTACCACTGAGCAAATAAAATCCTATATTACCCACACAATCTTTGCTATCTACTTCAGAACTGCTTCCCAATGCCCTGGAACTATACATATTTTCTGAATTCATCTATTCCAAAATCATATTAATTCAACGAAATCAAAACATACAGAATGTGTAGAAACAAAACAACTTTAATTTGTGTCATCTGCAGAATGATATCACACAAATGTGGACACTACTGCAAAAATATAATATCAATACACAAATAAATAGCATAATGAGTACAGGCATAATATTCGGATAAAGAAACATAAATACAATCATTGAATAACAAAATTCTTGTAATATGATACACAAACAAATGCTGTTGAAGAAATAAAGACTGAGAAAATCTATATCAAACACAGATAACAAAAGGTAAATGTTCCAAACAAAAATAACCACAAAAAAAAAAGAAGTGTCAACTATGGTATGCGCAAAAATAACAGGTATAACTGTGTATGAATTTTAATGTTGAGTCTTTAGAAATACTATATACTATATAATATTGTAACAGACCACATGTCACTCTGACAAAAAGCCTGAATTCATATAAAGAAAACTAAACAAAAAGGGTTATTTAATCCTTTGTCAAATGTAACATATACTGCTTTCCAATTTTTTCTTTTCTCAATTTATATTTGAATACTTATCAGTGTTACACTTTGTGATAACAGTTTAGTTAAAATGAGCTTCCCAAGAGTAGGAGAAAACAGAAGAACAGAAAAGGATGGTCTTTAATAACATCAAACAAAGTCAAAACAAGCAGTTTGCAAATAGACAATGGTGAAATTAATATCAAGATGCATTTAAAGACTTGTGCAAAAACATAAACAGATGTCTGAGATACATTACCAGTATTCAAATTTCATTCAACATATTAAATATGAACTGATGAATATTTCCCTGTACTTGGGATGTCAAATACTTGGACCTTTTGCAACATATTCGAAAGGTAATGAAATTACAAACTAAATAAAACTTGCATTTTATCACAAACAATTCCTGATTAATGATTTTTGATTCATTTAATAATAAATATGAAATGATAATTAAAAGAATTCAATCTTGAACATGAAATATAAAGTGAATTTATGTGAAAGGATTGTGTTGATATAAATATAATACTGTGAGATTATCACATTAAAAATGAAACTGTATCACATAATGAAAACGGTTAATATACTGCAGTGAACCAACTCTGCCTTTGTACAAGGAGGAAGTTCTAGTCTTCCTAAACATGAACATTTAAGAAAACAGATATCAAACTTATAAACCTGTTGTTTAGACAGATGCTACAAATCGATGATGAAAGCCCAATTTCAAAGTCTAAAGTCTGAAACTCCTATATCCTATGCTCACAAGCTACTTTCAAATCATGCATCTTAATAAACACAGGATCGTGATCAACGATGGAACGACTGTGTGTGGCGGTACTAACACCTAGCATGTCTGTGTCACATCCATGGTGTCAATCTAGACAATAAGATAAGGACACACAATTGATATATTTACACGAAATATTATTATAATCAAGGAATCAACACTCAGACACCTGATAGGCCCCCTTAGTTATATTACAAATATTTACAGTTTAAAACTTAACAATGTCCTCACTTGTTTCAGCTTTGTCCTGCATACACAAATCTTTCCTTCTGTGATGAATAATATATGATCAATGTTAATTTGACCAATCATACGCCTTTCTCAAAATGGAAAAAAGAGGCTCTTTACTTGTTTAACACCTCTTAATTTCATCGTATCAAGTAAGTTCTCCGAATAATCTTGTCTAATCAGATTACAGAATAACATGTACTGAAATGAACACATGACTTTCAGATTCATGCTAACATCAGTTGTTGATTACCACTGCAAGAATTGTATAATATTTACAAAGAATAACGTTACTATGAACAAGGAAGATGATTCTTCAAACAGAAGAAGTATATGATTCATGGTCAGGCTGGACTAATACCAGGAATTTGAAAATTTACACAGGTTTTGATTTCAACCAACAGAAAATCAGATATTAAATATATACTTCAATTTGCAGACATGCTAAACATGAGTGCATATCAATATATTCAGGTAAGTCATGTGAATATTCAAAACTTGAATTTCAAATTACCGGTAGCTAAGATATGACTATTTACAAATGTTAAAAGGTCTTGTATTTACACAAATTACAATTTGAACTGAGCCTAGACATATGACAAGAAGGGAATGGCTATTAACACACTTGGTGAGCCTAGGTTGAGTCAACATGTAGGTCACGTGAAAGCCAACATTTAGCTTCTTTATGGGCGATATCTAGAAAAATGAGTGAAGTGAAGACAAGAAATATTTTCCCCAATTCCCATCCCCTAGAGACAAAACCTTTATTGGCTGACTGATTTGACAGACATGCCAAAAGCCATTATCAGAAAACAAATGTTTACTATTTTGCACCTGACAGCTCCAACTTCAATGCATTATAAAAAGTTCACAACAAAACTGATTCCAAATTACCATAGAACTGCTAACATGCTGAACTTACAATAACAGTGGGTTTTATTTTCCCCAATAAACCGACCAATCAAAATCACTTTTTCCCAAATAAAATGGAACAATATTGGGCTACACAAATATACAGTGGAAACCTGATAAGTAAAATTTCGAGGGACTCAACCCTAGCTAATTATGTTTGCACAAATCTGTACACTATAAAATCAGTATGACCATCTATCTCATAAAAATGCTTCCATAACATAAATAATTGACGTTTCCAGTGGACCAATATGGATCCTACAATACCTAGTTCTCGGACTATCATTCTTCACTGCCTTAAATCTGTGAATATTTTAATCAAATTAATTATCAGGAAGGAATACAATGCCATCCACTTTCTTGACAATATTTTCCACCTAAAGCTCCTGGATCTCTCTTGAAAAGGTCAAAGTATCATTACAAGTCTAACCTTAGGAACAACACAACTAGCAACAATCTCTTCCGAATCAGAAATAGGGGAACCCTCAATTCTTCAATGTCCAGTATATAGAGGTTTAATATTAACACTTTTACAATACGTTATAAATGAATTTGTTGTGTATGTTATGAGGCCAGACATTTTCCTTTCTTGGAATAAAGTCATTTCGTCTAGAAGTTCAAGGTTGGCAGGTGAGGAAAATGAGGAAAAAAAGACACTTATTCAAAATATTCCTGTAAATATCTGTTTAGCCAGTCTTGTAGTTTTTAACTTACGTGTATAGGAAATTCTTTGTTTTCAAAACACAGAAATATGCATCTGGCATGATACAACATGCTGTTTAGATTATTTCCCCTTAATATTTTAGGTTTGGAGGAAGGAAAATTATGCGCTATGAGCATAGTCGGTGTGAATTTAGCTCAATATAAACTAATTATTATTAAAATTATCGCCTGAGAAGCTAAATGTCTTGTTTCCGGCCGCTGCAGTGAAACAGAAGTGTGAATGAGCAACAACAGTAGTGGGTGGACAATGGTCAGTGTTTAAACCCTGCAGACCAGGTGCTGGGGAGAACGGGTAGAAGCCTTACTTTCTTCCGGGTCCCACTTAAAAATTCCTTGTACATATCAGAGCGAAGATAGCGGCTGTAGCTGTCACTCTTCATCAGCTTGAATATATGGTCCTGCAACAGGAACAATGACGCCACGTCAGACAGGGACTTGTGGAACAGAGTTGTCGTCATGGAGATGTTCCAACACCACCACAAAACATCCTTTATCATATAATGGATAGTGTTTGGGCTGTGATGAATAGTATGATAAATGTTGGAAAAAACAATCCGTTAAATATACAAATGAGGTAATTTAATAGTGCCATCACATATTTCCTATATCGCATAATGAATAGTGTTACAGATGCAATAAACAAGTCTGTTAAAACTTGGTATCATGATCTGACAATATGCAAATGAAGTCATCGATCAGGTTCTACTTTTAATACACCCTCCAGACAGATGTGATACTTGTGCTATTTCTACATATTATTGAAAACAGTGCTGGAAACTCTGGCATCCCTGTTTGGGGGATGGGTTGGTTTATCGGATGGTTGACTGGTTGTTGTTTAACGCTGCACTCAGCAATATTCCAGCTATATAGCGGCGGTCTGTAAATAGTTGAGTCTGGACCAGACAATCCAGTGATCAACAGCATGATCATCAATCTATGCAATTGGGATACAATGACATGTGTCAACCAAGTCAGCAAGTCTGACCACCCTTTTACAACAAGCATGGGTTGCTGAAGACCACTTCTAACCCGGATCTTCACAGATTGTTTGGGGGAAGGTGTGGGGCGTAGTTATCCTTGCCAAGACTCACCTGAGCTTCATCGAAGCAGAATCGTGTGGGACTATTTTCTACCCTGCGTCTGACCAGCTCCATGACCTGGCAGTCGACGTTCACCGGGTTGTGTGCACCGGGAGCCAAAAACTCACTGAAACAGAGAACACCCATATAATTCATCAGAGCAGAATGTGCCTACAAAAGCACTTACTAATCTGGATGGATAAATTCCCAGCGAAATTGTCCTAACAAGCTATGACGTAATTTTTCTGTATACAGTAACCATCAAGGAAGGAGTTGTCAGATCCTGATTAAGGGAGGGATGTATCGACTAAAAGATCTGAAATTCCTCATCATTGAGGGACAGATTACAGGCTAAACACTAAAGACAGCGAACCCAATGTTGAATGAGGCAGCAGAAACACAGAAACTGTGCTATACAAATATGAAGGAAATTTAACATAATCGGAAAACACGGCTATTAACAGTAGCAGAGGGGAGTTTGGTATGAAGTGTTCCTGTTAGTTTAACATAGGAACATATCCAGATTCAGGGCACATCTCCAGGGTGAGGCTAGAATAATCTCAAACCCACCTAAACATTTCGTGCACCTTCTTATTCACCTCCCGCATTGGAAGTCCCTTCAATTCTTGACATGCCAGCCAGAATCTGCAACACATTCGCACATATGATGAACTTAGTTAAATATCTAAGCTTAAAATTGGTTAATTATTAAAAAAGAAATTTTCATTCCTCAATTACTGTCATGTTTAGAAAGCATGTCTGCATACAGAAAACCTATCATGAAATAAAAACATATCAAAATAAAAGCACTATTATATTATAAATATCTACTGCATCAGAACACCTCAAGCATCCCATATTTGGTAATATAAACTTTCTTTCCATCCTTATAGTGCATTATTTTTGGTCTCATATGAAGCAGTCCATAAGCAGACAGTGCAGTATATAATCCCTCCTCACAATAACGCAACCATCCCTGTAGAAACCTTTAACATCTATGGCCATTTATATATCCTGTCTGTACAGTGACCCTGACTAAAGCCTATCAGTATAGGTTCCAATAGTTGTAAACATTCCAATATATGTATTTACACGTCATTTTTCTCAGATGGATAACTTCAAGTAGTACTTAAAGTCTGATACAAATACATGTGTAGTACACCTAGTCCATTTGTTTTAGGTGATATTCTCAGTCTATTTGATAAATACCTAGTCTATCTAATGTAAGTAGTAAGTTAAAGGTCAGCAGTTATGTCATAACAAACTGCAGACTGCACTGAAAGACAAATATATACTTACTTTAAATTTTCGCCACTAAATTCCTTGTCTAAAAATTTGCTGAACTGGTCCCTCCCTGCTGTATCATTGAGTAGTTCTTCCACAGAGAACGCCCACCTCTTGACTCGGCGCTGTGGGATGTCACGACCGCTTCTGAAGAACAGGAAGGAAACATTTAGGGGGCAACAAGAAAGGGACCTCAATGCTTCATCATATACAGTTTGTTTCTCCCAAGGACGAACCTATCCTAATGTTGCATGAACCATAATCACACAACCAGTTATTTTCCATTGCAACTACTGCTATCAAATGTTGATCACTGGATTGTCTGATCCAGCCTCGATTATTAACAGACTGCCGCAATATAGCTGGAATATTGCTGAGTGCAGCGTAAAACTAAACTCACTCATTGCCGCGCTATCAAATGTATGCAGATTATTTGAAGAAGCACTGTGGCAGGCTATGGTACAGTGGAGTCTAAGATTTAATATAAATGTTTGGCACAAACTTTGTTTTTTCCCATGATTTCATTTTCACTTTGGTACACAACTATTATGCTGTAAAGCTCAAAATTCATAATATCGCCCCACAACTAACTACCGGTACATCCACTCAAAATGTCAATGCAATTTGAAACAAATGACTGACTGCTATCATTTAATGATAAATATGCCTGTCATTTTGGCCGAACATCAGATCAAAATCAATAAGTACGTTTAGAAAATATACGAGGCATTTTATGAACATGTTCTGCTTCATAAGCATTGTAGTCTGAGAGGAAATGTTGAAAAGGCAGTAACCCTACACATGCAAAAAAGGTTATTGCTGTGGCCATGTTTAAAATAGAATAGGAATATCTTCAACCACCAATCATTCAGTAATCATTCTGTTCTTCATATTGGCCATATATTGACTAACATTATGTTGCTACAAAAACTAGAATACATTGTGCCGTTGTACAAAACAACCTTAGCGCTAAGACTACCTTAAGTCTATGTTAAGGTATGGGAGTTACGGTCACCTTACTGCTAAGATTGCTTTGAACAACGGCACCATGGACAGTTAAAACTGCACATTGCTTGCAAAATCACAAAACCTAAATATAATAAATACTCACACTGGCATATGGATAACTTAAAATATTTAACATCATTGCTTAATAAACAAGGTTTCACTCTCTTTGATTGTATTCTTATTACAGCATTCAGCAATGTCCCAGCTAGTGAAAGCAGCCTGTAAATAATCAAGTCATTAAGTTTCCTCTAACAACCAATTAGTTGTTAGGCACCTATTTAAAGCTGTTATTTCATGGTGTCACTGTCATTAATTCCTGAAACATTCTGCTTTGTAGATCATGTATTTTATTTGAAAGAAAAATAACTCACAATGATTTTTCTGTCTCCCAGAATTCCATGTTATCTGAGATCCAGGGATTGGTCGGATCGGGGCTGGTTATGAAGGCATCATATTCTGCGTATTGCTCATAGTAAGCCATGTAACTGAAATAGGACAATAACGGAGATTTACTCACTACTGCTGTTACACTTTTTGCTTATGAATGACATCTGTACATACTCATATTTTTCATGAAACATATATATTAATAAATTAAATATTTTAGCCTTATCTTTACATTATTACAAATTAAAGATATTAAGTTAGTTATCTCCCTTTGATAAAAATCTCTATTTTTCCACAATTGCAAAAGATTGTTTCAATCAATATTACATTCTTTATACAATTTACCTTTCTGTGACTTTTGATATTTTCACTCTTCTTTTCTCTAATTTCCTTCGTAGAGCATCAATCTGGAACAAAGTAATATCAACATTTAAATTTACATACTAGGCACAGAGTCTAAATATCGAGCAATATACAAATCTTAAAGATAATTATTTATAAGATTTTATAGCCCAGGAAACATACCCTTTTCGGTGAACATAATTAAAATGAAATAAAACGAAAGTTTCACTTTGAAAGGAGATAAAGAAAAGAATTTGAGATGCTTGGTTTGAGCACACAGCACTTACCTCCCTTCGTATGGAGTCTGTAGGGTTGTGAAGATCAGCCTCGGAGACACTGGGGCTTATCCTTCCCCCAGGTACTGCGTAATTAGGCTGCAGAGAAACACGATTTGTAGTCCTCATATCCTTAACAGGCAGAAAAACACTTAACACTTTAAACACATGTACGAACATGGTAATGAACATTTTAAAAACATCTTAGAAACACAAACATGGTAAACATTCAAATGCATAGAACATTCTGTGAATATATATTAATTTGTGAAATATATGAAATAGAAATTACATTTTATATCTATGTAAATGTGCCTTGCCAATTATAAGTTTCAATATATAATATTTGATACCAAAATATAATCAGCAAGGATTACATTCTTAAAGGGGTACTAGTACTAGCAACAGTCAAATGCACTGTCTTGATTCATTCAAATCACTTAAACACAAACTTGTGTGTCTGTAGACCAAAACATTATGGCACATGTACAGACCATGGTACATAGTCCCCATTTAATCAAATTGAGATTTAATGTTGAATTTTACAGTAAATACAAGAATAGAGGTGAAGGTACATATTAGTTTTCTAACCATGCAAAAATTCATGAATTTCAATTAACACAGTATGTGTGTGTGCCAGTGTGTGTGCTCATGTGTGTAACATATCTGTAAGATTCTAGCATACTGGGGGGTATGACCTGTAAGATGAGGGACGGGATGGGGGACAGGCCCATGGACACCCCTCTGGCCTTCTGAGTTTACCATTCTTGCACTTTAATACTGTGTCACACAATCTCCCCCAAGCCTCAAACAAGCCTGACGAAGTAGCAGAGACTTGAGAAAAGGCAAGAGTAGTCCTGGGGCAATGAAGGCTGACCCCTATACATTAACCTGAGACAGGCCCACAGGGAGGCCACGAACCTCTGATCCAGCAAGGTAGGGCATCTGGCCTCGGGAAATTGCTTACCATCAGTGATAAGCTGTCTGGGGGGGAGAGAAGACATGGCTTACCCTCAATGATAGGCACTCTGTTTAAGGTAGGGTCCAAGTATGGCTTACCATCAACAGCAGGCTGCCTGTCAAGGAGGATACAGCTTACCTTCAATGACAGGCTCACTGTCTGGGGGGATACAGCTTGCCATCAATAACATGCTCAATGTATAGGGGCTATAGTTTACGATGAGTCTCCCTGTCTGGCCAGTATACAGCTTACCACCAATGATAGACTCACTGTTGGGAGAATACAGTTTACTATCACTGTATGGGGATATAGCTTACCATCAGGCTTACCCTCAGGCTTATTGTCTGGCAGGGTATAGTTTACCTCCGATGAATAGCTTACTGTTTAGGAGACCATCAGGGTTACTGTCTGGCAGGGTACAAGTTTACCCTCAATGATTGGCTCACTGTCTATGAGACCTCTAGGGTTACCATCAGGCTCACTGTCTGGCAGGGTACAAGTTTACCTCCCATGATTGGCTCACTGTCTGGGAGACCATCAGGGTTACCATCAGCCTCACTGTCTGGCAGGGTACAAGTTTACCTCCCATGATTGGCTCACTGTCTGGGAGACCATCAGGGTTACCATCAGCCTCACTGTCTGGCAGGGTACAAGTTTACTCCAATGATTGGCTCACTGTCTAGGAGACCATCGGACTTACCATCAGGCTCACTGTCTGGCAGGGTACAAGTTTACCTCCAATGATTTGCTCACTGTCTAGGAGGCCATCAGGGTTACCATCAGGCTCACTGTCTGGCAGGGTACAAGTTTACCTCCAATGATTTGCTCACTGTCTGGGAGACCATCAGGGTTACCATCAGGCTCACTGTCTGGCAGGGTATAAGTTTACCTCCAATGACTGGCTTACTGTCTAGGAGACCATCGGACTTACCATCAGGCTCACTGTCTGGCAGGGAATAAGTTTACCTCCAATGATTTGCTCACTGTCTAGGAGACCATCAGGCTCACTGTCTGGCAGGGTAAACGTTTACCTCCAATGACTGGATTACTGTCTATGAGACCATCAGGGTTACCATCAGGCTCACTGTCTGGCAGGGTACACATTTACCTCCAATTATTGGCTCACTGTCTAGGAGACCATCAGGGTTACCATCAGGCTCACTGTCTGGCAGGGTATAAGTTTACCTCCAATGACTGGCTTACTGTCTAGGAGACCATCAGGCTCACTGTCTGGCAGGGTATACGTTTACCTCGAATGACTGGCTTACTGCCTAGGAGACCATCAGGCCCACTGTCTGTCAGGGTATATGTTTACCTCCAATGACTGGCTCACTGTCTAGGAGACCATCAGGGTTACCATCAGGCTCACTGTCTGGCAAGGTACACATTTACCTCCAGTGATTGGCTCACTGTCTGGGAGAATACACTTAACCATCTATGATAAGCTCCATCACTATTGATGTACTTACTTCCTTGATGAGAATAGGGAGATCAGAACTACGGCCTGGTATCACTGGGTGAGGGAGGGGCCATTACAGGGAACCATTACAGGGAACCATTACGGGGAACCATTACAGGGAACCCTTTATGGGGAACCAATACAGGGAACCATTACAGGGAACCAATGAAGGGAACCATTACAGGGAACCAATGAAGGGAACATTACAGGGAACCAATGAAGGGAACCATTACAGGGAACCATTACGGGGAACCATTACAGGGAACCTTTATGGGGAACCAATACAGGGAACCTACCCAACCTGTAATCCAGCCATGGTATGCTGAAGAACTAACATGATACGAGTGATTGGGAATTAATACATGGATGTGTTTGTATGCAGGTGTTTGTGCAGAGGGAAATAAAATGAATACACACCAGGCTTCCAACTCTTGTGATCTTTGAGTGGCGGTTCATGCGACAAGCCTTCTTGATGTCCACCTCTGTTGTATTGACACAACCAGGCTGAAACACACACATTGATCACAATCACAAAAATTGCTCTTGTTTTTCGTTTCAAATTTCACTCAGCGTTATTCCAGCCTAGAGAGACTGAGCTGTTCTATGCTGATGTGAGTAATCTTCCAGAAACCTGTAGGTGGTAAGAATATCTTCAAAAGTAAATGTATGGATGGAAAGTATGCAGTGTTGAACTGTTACATCAAAATGAAATCTACATTAGCTTTTTATTGATAAAGCATCACAAAATAGTTTTATTGTCTTTCATAAAGTTAATATCAGTGAACTTTGACATTTTTAATGATTTGTTGACTTGGTAAACTGTAAAGCATGTTTTAATGTTGGTGGACAGGTAAGTCCAAGGTTTCTTGTGCCAGTTTATGACACATCACTATGGTGCCATGCCATGTTCTGAAAAACATGGCTGCCTCAAGACATGAAGCCGGTGAATCACACCATCATTGGCAAGGCATTTCTACATGAATTCAGTTTCAAATTCTTGACACCATTGACTACATAGCGGGTTACAGGAGGCAAGATTTCAATAAGTATGTGTGATCTTAAATTTACATTACCAGCTGGATCAAGGAAACCAATAGTCCCTCAAAAGGAGATTCACCACGGGTGTTTGTATGCCCACATTACAATTATCTGGTGTAGTTTGCTTACACAACAAATAGATTCAAGTAATATCTTCATTACATGAGAAAGTCTGTTAAGTAAGTCAGTCAGTGACAGTGTATTGTGACACATTTACAAGTATGGGAGGTCAAAATGGCTGACATGAAAAAAGTGACAGATGGGACTTCTAAAGTTGTGTTAGCAGTAGTCATCATTGGCCGATGACTGAAAGGTTATTACAAAGATGTGTCAAATAGATAGGTAAATTCAGAGATTGTTCTAGACTGTCACTGTCTGTCTAGGCATGAATCCAATTGTTGGTGTTTGTTTTTCTTTCCTCGTAAAGTTGGGTCAGTCGTAACGAGAGTATCTGTGCATAGGCATAAAGCCAAGTTCTCGTTATTCCCAAGGTTTGTTGAAATGCTGAGATCAAGATTAAAAGGTCGAAATGATCAGAAACACTTCTGTATTTATTCATGGCTAGGGAATTCCCATGGATTTCCTAGGAACGTGGAATTTGGCCATCCTTGTTTGTCATTTCTCATAAAAGATTTAAGAACATCAAAATCTGTTGTTTGTACATACATATATATGGACGTCAGATATGTGGTCATGTGACCAGCCTGGGATCTAATGTAAAGGCTATATGTAACTTTCACATTGTCATTTTTATATATAATTTTTCTTCGCAGCTCTATATAGCTATGTAATTTTTTATAGAGTAGGAATATATCTACCTAAGGCCAGACCAATTTTATTTCTTGTTTTGCGGATTTTTGTCCTCAGAAAACCTAAAGGCAGGAGGGAAATAAAGAAGAAAAAAGGGAAAAATCACCAGTCAAAGCAAAAGCCCACATGAGTTTCCATGTTAACTCTTTTGGTTTTCTTATATCAACTAAAAATAATTTGAGTGAGTATAGGTTTCACACTGATTTCAAGATTATTTCACTTATATCATATAAATATTAGGATTTTTTTTTTTTTTTTGGGGGGGGGGGAAATTATTTTATGTTTTTTGTCTTATCCTTGAAAAAATAAGACCAGGGGATCTGTAAAATAAGAAATAGAATTGGTCTGAAGCAATACCTAAGCTACTGAAACCTGAATTATCCCACTCCTAGCAGGAGATCCTGCAGTTTTCTGACACATTGAATAGAACCTTCCAACAATCCTTATAAACAGCTGAATTAAAATTATGAGTTAAATAATATGAAAAAGATTTCCTTCAATCTTAGAATTGATCCTTACATACAAACACCCTACTTTTACCATATTCCAGAATTAAAATGCAAATATCTGAATGCAACTAATGTGCAATAGGAAACACAAGTGGATCTAAATTACATGTTTGGATGGTGGCGTCTTTTATACACTGAACTGTATCAGATATAGTTTCTAACAGAGAAATGATAAGGAAATAATATGCATTAATTTTCCTTTCTAAATTTTCTTGAAAGATAACAGCATCCAGCAAACATAGAGGCATGCATGTTTTGGAGGCCTTTGCTCAAGTCTTTATCGATGAGCCAATTTGGCCGCAAAGCATGTCTGATATTCTCGGCTGGATTACTATGGTTTACCGAACTATGAATTTCCATTGACAATCAATACTAGGTGATGTGCTAAGCATGCCTACAAAATGCATCTGCCACACAAAAAAATAAAAAATGCCATTTTCCTCTTTCATGACGACACAATGATTATTTTGAATGAAGTGCAATCCTGAGTTGCAGGATAATATACTTTTCAATATATATACAAGCATCTATACCTATCACTCTAAAAAATTTCCACTGCATCACAAAAGCATCTGTAATTCCCTCATTATAAAGCAAAAGGTTTCAAGTGGATGTTTCAAAGTTTTTCAACATTATTCCTCAAAACTAATATCATTTCAAATTATACTGTCACAAAGTTATTAAAAATACAGAGTACATGAGCATCATGTAGGATTAAATTCTGTGCTTTATAACGAGGAGAAAGAGTATCAGTAGAAGGATGAATCAATGCTTGTAATGTGAACAATGATTTATCAATACTGGGCAAATTAGGATTTGTTTGTAACAGTATAACAAGAAGGCTCCTCAAGTGGCATGGCTGGACACTATCTTCCTGTAGCACCATGACATGGTTTCCCCACATTCAGCTGGCTGTCTATAGAAGCAGTCAATAGTACAAGTGATCCTTAGTGTTGGTAAGAGCTTCACGTCTCACCGAAAGGCTGTCATTAATTAATTAGATGTAGTAAGTACTGTCATTTGATATCAAATAAAAACAAGTCACTTTTGACATTCACTCAACCTTGAATATGCCATGAAGCAATAGAACACATTTGAATATAATGAATATCAATGGTTGTTGAGGGAGATTTATAACCCATGGGACGCGGCATTTATCCTGGGATAGGATCGAGATTTTTTTATGAGATTACAAAAATGACATCCCTGACTATAATATTATCACTGCTTTTTGTGTGTGTAAACTTCAAGAAATATAATTTTATAACATTAATTCCCATTCCCCAGGGACTCCTTATTGTCTTCAACAATACATAGGCACGACGCTATTAGCATCAGGCATAATGGTAGAGCTTTCATATCAATAACAAAATACAAAGAAATATATCACATGACATGTGTTATTTATCGTAAGCATGATACAGCTGTGTAAAGTGTATGACATCATCCAATCGAATGCTTGTTATCTATGAAATCTATGATCACAGGTTTGAATCTTGTTTCGCCCTGATTATGGTTTTAGGATTGCCCGGGCCATATTGATGAGTTCCATCACTTTGGTCACACTTCCAGCTAACATGCCAGGTTCTACAAGAAAGACACTTTAAAGCAGCACTCAACAAAACTCTCTGAACTTACAGAGAACACGGTAGTTTCAAACAGAAAGACCAGAAAGAAATGTTTTGTCTAATTTGAAGAATCAATCTGCACTTACAACTGGCCTGTGCACATCCCAGAAGGCCCTCTCCTGACTGTCTAGCACCTTGCGTTCCAATTTATCACGCTTTTTGTCCACTCTGAATAAAAACAAGTCATGGAATACATTAATAAAATCAGATTGTTAATGTCTATCACAAACATTGCATGGTGCTATCACTACATTTCCAGGTTTTAGTCATGGGGTATTAGAAAAGTGTCTACTTGGAAATAGGTTGATCAACATGAATTTCATTTATCATTACAAAACATCTACATTTTGGACAATTCTATTTTAATATTAGTAGGTGACTTTAAGACTTTTATCAGACATGTTTTAATTATAACGTGAACATTCCGTCTGGATTATGGTAGCCTTATTCCTGTGGATACACAGAATACATACAGAAAATCAAAAGAAATTTTAACACTAAGTCACAGCTATTCCTATGAAAATATGGAGTTTGTCAAGCTAAATTACTTGCAGGTATATAAAATAGTAGAATTACCATTAGCAAAGTGTATTTGATGTTTATTAAAAAATCACTCCCCACCCACACACCCTCCCAAAAATATAAAAATAAATATATACTTAAAATAATGGTCTTTGAAAAACTGCATTACAATTTCCTTCAAGCAATATTTGTTTTAAGACATACATCTTCCAAAATGTTTTTGAGTATTGGTTTGGACATATGTGTAACATTCACCTGTGTCAAGCATCATTTTCATATTCCCATCAAATGTTATGATTATCAAGGAAGGCAGTTTTAAAAATATATGAAAATCATAATATAAATAGAAAAACAAAAAAACCCATTCATTTCTTAAAAAAATCTCTGATAAAACTCTTGTCATCGACTAGTGGTAATTATGTAGGTTTTAGTCCCGTAGGTCTAATGATTTTTGTTTGTTACTTGGGATTTGTCAGCTGGGATATGATGGCATGTGCCAACTAGGGCTGGGATGGGTCAAACTCATTACCCACCCGACCCGGGTATCTGGGTTACCTGTCCAAGCCCTAGTGCCAACCATGTCAGCGGGCCTGACCACCCAAGCCTGTTAGTCACCCCTGATGAACTATGAAAGTTAAATACCTTTTGAGCATTTGATGCTCTGTAATCTTAACATTTTTTCACTTTGCCAATGTTAACTTCAAGAACAAAGGGTCTTTAGTTTAAATTGAAACTTTTATGCCATTATGACTGGGAATTCACAGCTATAACAGCTAGATATGACCGGCCCAGTTCAACTCGTAATCTCAACTCACTTGGCCTGTGCTTCAGCTTGCATGAATATAAATTCCCATTTCCTAGAGAACATTTTTTGTAATCGTGCTAAGTTTTCAGCCTCGTAGTCTGCTAGCTCCAGCCTTTGCTTGTTCTGCATCGTTCTCTTGCATAAATAAACAGCTGCAAAAAAAATACACACTTTAGAGCTAACCCTTGACAATTCTATGAGAAGACTAGTGTCTAAACAAAAATAATCTTCAGGCCAAAATAAATTTCCCTAAATGTGTTGATCAATAATTTCATCATCTTTAACACTTAGCAGTTGAAGTGAAATACATTAATATTTATAGCAGCGTCAAAACAAACGTCATCACATGCTAGTTTTGTTTGTAAATATGGTACACAAAAGAGGTTACTCCTGATCACTTCATAGTCAATGTGTCACTCCTTGTCATGGAACAACTTTATCATAGGACTGTTGTTAATCTGTCATGGCAAGAAAAATGTAATATTCTCTTATGAAACATTTGGGTGTTCTGCAACTCCTTTTGAGTACTATATCTTAACCATGCATGAAATATTTGAATACTTTAGAAGCATGAAGATTATATTATCAGAATGCAACTTCTACATTTCGATAAATTTCAACATTAAATGACATGTTAATTGCTATCCTGGAATATCCAGTCCGTAATATCTCCATTCCATCATTTAAATAACCCAGAAACATCCACAGTCATAGCATTCAGTTTGGAAGAAGAACCTAGCTGTCCCTGTAAGCTCATGCATTGCAATTTGTTTCTACAGAGTTGTGTACCTTTGACACACCAGAATCCCATGATGCTGAATTCTAAAATTCCCCTTGTAATGTTTAACAGTTTGTGATGATCACACTCATGCCTGTGAGCTTTCCCAAAGTGACAAACATCTGAATATTGCATCATTTCTTGCTTCCTCTAACTTCCCACAACATCATTCAAAGGCTTTAAATGTTTAGTTGACTATTTTGGACAATGTGTATGATATTTTTGGATTCAAACTATATTATCAATCTGAGTACTCATCATAAAAGAATTGAGACAAACTACCCATGATAACTGGGGGTGGGTAAATGCAGACAAAACTTTTAAACACTGCTCCAGTCAACATAATCACCCTGAATTTAGTTGTCAACTGCCTGATTCTGACTGGCCAATCAGAGATTTCAAATTATAACAACCGCCTTTAATTGATGCAGCCCATCTTACCATAATCAGTATTCTCTGGTTCTCCACAGCGAGAGGGCCAAAAACATGGAGTCTGCAAAATAAATATCATCATACTGATTACTGAAAGAATAACTGAGAGAATAAAGGATTACTGATTATCTCCCTCAAGAATTACTTATCTGTCTTGTCAACTTCATAGAAATGTCTGGTTTCCTGACACCCCAATATATTTTGGTACATACATCTGTAGTGAGTTAAAGAGAAACTAGTTTCACCTAAAAATATGTATTTCCTCATCATTAAAGGACTGACTGACTGAGTGAGTGAGTGAGTTTGGTTTTACGCCGTTTTTAGCAACATTCCAGCAATATCACGGCGGGGGACACCAGAAATGGGCTTCACACATTGTACCCATGTGGGGAATCGAAACCCGGGCCTTCGGCGTGACGAGCGAACGCTTTAACCACTAGGCTACCCCACTGCCCCTCATCATTAAAGGAGATCAGGTCAGCTGTTGGAATAATGTCGTATAGCACCTTTCTGTTATCATGAACAATGGATCAAGTCAGAATTTCATAATTATCAGTTGGTTTACACCTTTCCTTTCTTTAAAATGATGGTCATTTGTTGAAATTAATTCACAGATTGATCCAATGCAATGTAATGGCATTAGTTTGTCACTGAACAAAGCAACCAACTTCATACCAAATTATGTATAGCATGTACACAAATTACTCTTATTTCGACAGATCCCAGCTAATTGGTGATTACCGGGTAATTGAAATATGCAATATAATATCAAATCTGGCCTCACAGATCAGTTCAACCAGTTGGGAACAAACTAAGCAAAACATGTATTAATATTTATTTACATAATTATAATTTGAATTTTAAAATTTTATATTCCAAACATTCCCTTCAGTCTTCATTGAATACCAGTGTACTAAGCATGCTGGCCATAGTAAGGCCACCTTCAACCATTACAAGTCTAGTCATTACTTTACACATCATATAAAATCTACTTGAAATTACTTTTTTAAAGTCTTTGCCATCCAACTTGAATCCTAACAATAATGTTTACAGATAATTGGATATGATAATCTTGAATTATACATTACATAATACACATATAAGCTGACACATGTTTTTTCTCTACCATGAACATGAAAGCAAAGGGATGCAAAATTATTATTTGTAATTGCAGCACCTGTTGTCTGCAAGTCCTCAACTGGCTAAACAATCGTACACTGGAACCAATTTAACCCTTTAAGTGTAGTAAGGACCAACCTCTAGTATTTGAAATGAACATATTTAACAGAAGAAAATTCTTCAATTATCTTAGTAAAATATCACAAAAAAGATCTTGCCATCATTTACAGACTTGCTGGTCTGTATTGGATATATTTGTCTCGGAGAGACGTTTATACATTTGAGCTGAACATGCTCTACTTTATCCTCACCTGGAATCTGTAGTAGGTGTTGTCACTCTTGACGGAGAGCACATGGTCGTCTATTGGGAAGAAGTAGCCATGTGCAGACATTAGATGGGCCAGGTGAAGTGCTTCCACTGAAACCAGAGAAACAGTCAGTTAAACACTGGCTGCACATGTTACAGAACCACCCATTGATAAGTCACAATGGCTGCAGTAAGAAACACATTGATAAACAGTCACTATGTCTTCAGTCAGAACCACCCACTGATGAACAGCTATGATGGCAACGGTCAGAACCACCCACTGATAAACAGCCATGATGGCTACGGTCAGTACCACCAACTGATAAACAGCCATGATGGCTACAGTCAGAACCACCAACTGATAAACATCCATGATGGCTACAGTCAGAACCACCACTGGTAAACAGCCATAATGGCTACAGTCAGAACCACCAACTGATAAACATCCATGATGGCTACGTCAGAACCACCAACTGATAAACAGCCATGATGGCTACAGTCAGAACCACCCACTGATAAACATCCATGATGGCTACGGTCAGAACCAACCACTGATAAACAGCCATGATAGCTACGGTCAGAACCACCGACTGATAAGCAGCCATGATGACTACGATTAGTACCACCAACTGATAAACAGCCATGATGGCTACGGTCAGAACCACCCACTGATAAACATAGTAACAATGTCTGTGCAGTCAGTAACACATTGATAAACATAGTAACAATGTCTGTGCAGTCAGTGACACATTGATAAACATAGTAACAATGTCTGTGCAGTCAGTAACACATTGATAAACATAGTAATGTCTGTGCAGTCAGTAACACATTGATAAACATAGTAACAATGTCTGTGCAGTCAGTAACACATTGATAAACATAGTATCAATGTCTGTGCAGTCAGTAACACATTGATCAACATAGTAACAATGTCTGTGCAGTCAGTAACACATTGATAAACAGTCATAACAGAAAATGGGTGAGCAATAATCAAAATAGGTTGTCAATGTGGCTGCTCTGGCAGCCATATTAAAACATTATTAAAACCAGGCCAGGTGAACATAAGACGTAACTGAAAGTCATGTCCAGTGAGCATCCTTTGAAGCCAAGGAACTTTGCAGAAGTCCTATTGGGCAGGTACATCTGAACCAACTACATTAAACCATTCATGAAAAATCACTCACAGAAATCTTGCTCACTTAAACACTGCCAATAATCTAATATGAAGAAGTTGACAAGGAAACTACCAAAGGGATGATGAGTTAGCTGCAGTAGTTCCGGATCCCTTTGAAATATTGCCCCATAACAACACCATATGAAGGTTAGCAACTGACTCAAGCCCAAGACAGTTTGTCTTATGTTAAACATATACTGAGGGCTACAACAATTGATTTTGTTAGGTCAGTCTTTAATTATTTTGGGGTTCACCTTTTTGTTTAAAAACCAGACTCCTGTACCATGAAGGGACCTTATCTAAGAGCTAAGGTCACTTTGGGGAAAAACGTCATGGGAGAGAGGGGAAAATATTTTAATATAATACATGTAAGATTTTTTAGTGTTAATATACAAGGAGTATTTATTAACATCAGTATTGTATACTTACACATTAAATACACAATTTCCTGATCTCAAACACCTCAGTTTCTATTTTGAAAAGGGGTGGTGGGGCAGCCTAGTGGTTAAAGCGTTTACTTGTCATGCTGAAGACCCGGGTTTCATTCCCCATATGGGTACAATGTGTAAAATCCATTTCTGGTGCCGTGATATTGCTGAGATATTGCTAAAAGCAGCGTAAAAATAAACTTACTCACTCACTCTATGTTGAAAAAGCCAAAAAAATCTTTGTAAGGTTTCAGCAAAAATGTATTTATAAATTTTCTTACAGTATTGTGGTTAATGAGTCAGAATGACATTAATTTACCTTTTCGTCAAAATTTACAAAAAAGAATTTTGTTAACAATCAAGGTCCATCTTTTGACGGTGGGTAACAACAGGTACAACACATTGTCAGCCTTCAGGCATTATTCCAGACATCGGAATCTTCTCCAGCAGCAACATAAGCATTAACTCCTTTCATAATTCTACAGAACGAATTGACATTACTCAAACTATCTGTTTCATATCAGTTCAACCTCTTTCCCTGATGTTGCTTTCAATCATTACCGGCCATGTTACAACTGCTGCAGAAAATGCCTGCATTTTACGACGGCAAAGGAATCAAGGGCCTTTCCTTGACTTTTTGTGAAATTCTGACACCAAATCAAGCTTAAGAGTCAATTGAACGATCGGAGACGTTGAGAACAGTGTGTAATCAATATTGAGCAACTGCCTACAGAAATAGACAGATGACAAGGACAATGACCACAACTGCTCCCTCCTCTCAAGTTGTCCTGTGCTCTACAACCCGATATTAGCGCTAAGACGATTGTAACACCCATACTTTAACATAGACTTAGGACAACTGTAGCAGAAGGATCAATCCGGGGATTAGGGCTGTGGCCTCTTCAGGGTCCAGTTTCACAAAGTCATGCTGGAGCTAAGATGATCGTAGCTCCAACAGCCAACAAAGGCTACAGCAATCATAGCGTTAAGAAATCTTTGTGGATGTAGTCAGGTCTGCATTGAGGTCATACTGATGCCTTGCAAGATTAAACTTAATACTTCGTTAATTTTCTGTTGTTTCAGCAAAATTATACAATCAGAAAATATATAACATTGTTAGTGAGGGTTTTCTTCTCATTTGTCTGACTGCTCTATCATTGATGTATAAGGAAATGATACAGCCATAAAAACTTAAATTTATTTCTTTTCAGATTTATAGTATGTAGTTGCTGGCCATTGAAAATAACTCATAATAAAAAAAACTCTTCTCAGACAAAATTTAACACATATACCTTTTCTGATAAAATTCGAAACACCACTGTTTTACTACTAAATGGATATTTTCCCAATCAGCTTAAGGCCAACTTCTATGGAGTTCTATGGATATACAACTTCTTTAATATAATATGAGCGACGTTTTGGTGTAGCTACTAACACCGTTATCAAGCAAGTGATGTAAGGTCATATACTATTCACACTTTGCTAACGATCAAATCATGCATTCAACAGAAAACTATGATTTGGGGTCAAATTTGGTTTAAATATCTAAGCTTATTGTTAGCATGGATCCTAGGTTTCAGTATGTCATTGCATCTTGTGGACAACATACCTGCTATTGACAGGTATTGTTTATTTGTCAATGACTCATTCCCGATTTGCAAAATGGTTGATTGGTGCCATGAAAATCATTTTTATGATTACACATGTATCAAGAGCATAAGGTTAGATTAAAGTGACTGTTTGCCTAAAGAGGGGTTACCATATCATTATATATTTATCCAGTTTAAAATGGATACAATATCACATTATAAATCTACGTTTAAGCAAAGTTGTGAATTTGTATGATCCTTATCAAAGTGAAAGTAGTATATACTGAAATTTCATTTATTAGTCTACCAAAGCGAAAATTAGCTGAAATCTCAAAACATAAAAAATAACATATGAAAAGTGTGGCCTTAGGCAAAACCAAAACCATTGTACCATTTACAAGAAAGCTCTATTATACAGAGTGAAACATCACACATACGACATCAAGAGAATCATTGTGCCTCCCCTCCCCGATACAAGAGACAAAACCAAGCATTACCCTGACCATGAATCTAAGTCTCTGTCTCTGTCTCATCATAGGGCCCTGCAGTATTGTTGCATCCAGACTTTATGGTTGTGCTAAAGGATTACTTTATGATCATGAACAGAAGAACCTCCAGTGTCCATTTAAATAACATTCATCATAGTATACTCATACACAAAGATCTCCTTGGGTGTTGTCACTAATCTTTCTGTGTGCTTGAGAAAAATACTTGATTGTGTAAATATTAAAGATTTGAATTTTGTTTATTGCTTAATCCATGATTCAGAAGATACAGGAAAAGAAACATTCTTTCATTCTTATCCTTTGATATCTAATATATGAACAATTGATAACAGAGGACATAGGAAGATTTCAGCTACTTTAAATTCAACTTATGCTAATACATGTATATTCACATTGTAAAATGACGAGCGTGCGCTACAATCTGATTGGTAGAGAAACACTGTAGAATGGTACTGGATTCCTGACACCATAGAATTCCATATGTTATATATGTCTCACAACTGTTTCAGTTCACTTTTGACATATTTTTTACCATGATAAATAACAATACTTTAACAGATTTAAAATAACGTTGGATTGTAAGTTTTCTGACACCATACCTTTTTGGATGGCATTGTTTACTCTTTAGGCAGGTTGCATCACAAACACATTGTAAATACTTGAACGATAATTAAGTAGTGAGATAGTGAGGTAAAGTAGTCCGATAAGTTACTGACATGTTTTACAATTGTTCATAAGATAATCAAGAAAGCAAAAGATGTTCCTAATAAGCAGCCAAAAATGTGTAACACACCGATACATCATAACTGCAATATTAAAAACTTGGGTACAGTCATCACCATAACTGATACACAAAGAGATGATTTGCATAAACATGTCTCTTTTGTATTGAAATTCATAACTTATAAAAGTCTATATGAGATCCCAGTTTCACTCCAGTGAATTCTGTAGGCTTGCATCCTGTCCAGATCACAACTAACTTTTATGTCTTCTCATTCTGGTTTTGCTGACTATGTGACTGCATATCCGACTGCATGATTCCTATGCAATATGGGTCAAGTGTGTTTCTCAAAAGGTCTGCTGTCATCACGTCCCTGGCAGGACCAGCAAACGATCCTCCATAGCCAACCAAATCTGATATAATGTGGCCTGAGCGGTCCCAGAGCCCATCATGTCTGTTAAGTTGAAGGTGTCCCATGATGGACATCACAATGGTGGTAGTCCCACTTGTGACCTGTGATTTCCATACCCTTTATTGCATGGCTGAACTGCAGCAGTGATAATCTTGGCAATAAAAGAACATTTCTTGACGTTGAAACAGGAAGTGATCCAAACAATTACAAATGTTCCCGGACATGTAAGGAAATCGGTACCAACGGTAAAACTAGGGCTTCCATGTACCACGAAACAATAC